TTGGGTAACCTTCTTGATGTATTCTTAGGGAGTTTGGATGTTTCATCTTCAATAGTGGCTCTGATGCTCACTATGCCTCTTGCTTCTTCTTTACTTTTACTGCACATTCTGGATTGGGGTGAATCCAACATGCATAGTGAGCAGCTTCCTTGTTTCAACATCAGTGGCCTGAATTTCCTCCTTGGGAAAACTTATGATCCCAGCATGATATCTGATTACTGGAAAGGCATCGCTGTTGATTGCCTGGACCTTGTTCTTACCATTGAGCTGATTTTACTCATTGCAGGTATTTTGGCTTTTAATAATAATAATAATGGGTTATAATTGAACTTTGGGGAGCAGTGGGCTGCCATCGTAGGGTGCAGAAGGAGCAATTAGGGGTTAAGGGTCTTGCTCAGAAAGCCAGAGAGGCAGCCTGTGGGAGTGGGTTTTGAACTCACAACCTAAGGATTCCAAATTCTATGCCCTAACAACTAGGCCACCACTCCACTCCTGTTGCCACTTTCTGGATGAGATTTACTGGTATTCCAAGGTACCTGTAGCCCACCTCTACATCTGCTATCCTCCCCTCTGGGATTTTGATCTCCTCTTGGTGGATTAATAACAATAATAATTGAACTTTATTGATCTTACACTGGAGAAATTTACCTCTGCATTTAACCCATCCCCTTGGGCAGCAGTTGGTTGCCAGTGTGCAGTGCTCAGGGAGCAGTTTGGCTTGAAGTTGGCTTAAAGTATGGTTTTCCACACCCCTATGGAGGCTCTTGCCGTTTACTTCTTACATCTTCATACACCGGGATCTACATGTGGCATTGAGTCAAAGGCTTTCTTGTAATCAACTCAGGCTGTGCACAGGTCTGTTTGTCTGTTTCTGCCGTCTCAGGTGACTCTTCTGTTAGCCATCAGTTGTTGTTTGGTTCCTTTGGTGGGTTTTACCAATGCCTTTTTGTATGTCATAGTTAAGGGCCCTCTTTCATCTGCTTGACATGAAAAGCAGCTCAGATTTTATCTGCTTAACTGTTTTTTTCCCCCTACGGAGCTAGTTTTCCGTTACATTTTCTAACTGATCTATGATCAGTGCTTCTATGTTCTTTTTGTGCGTTTCTGCTTCTACGTCCTTGAAGCCCTGTCAGCCTCGGCAAATTGCCGCTCATAGTCTGGTTTGTTTGAGGTTGCCTCCTGTTGAAAGTGATTTTTCTTCCCCAATGTGGCTGTATGCATGCTTGGTATGAAGAATTTCTGTTCAGTTGACAAGAAATTGCAAGCGACCATCTACTGTCACCATATGTTAATCAGGGAGAAGCGAATCCTGCGATGGCAGCCCACTGCTCCGCAATTGGATGGGTCAAATGCAAAGACTGAATTTCACCATTGTGGAACAACAAAATATATATATATATATATACATGTATATATGTGTGCGTGTGTATGTATGTATACACAGCGGGTAAAATAAATATAAATATTGAACATAACACCATTTTTCTCAGTAAATATATTTCTAGAGGTGCTGTTGACATGACGTTTTCACCAGTCAGTAACGATCTATGCAATCCACACATACAAAGAAATCATAGATGTCCAGAATTTAAGCTACGTGTAATAAAGTGAAATACACAGGGAAAAGTATTGAACACACTTCCTAAAACTTATTTAATACTTTTTACAAAAAAGCGTTTGTTGGCAGTGACAGCTTCAAGACACCTCCTGTATGGAGAAATGAGTCGCATGCATTGCTCAGGTGTGATTTTGGCCCATTCTTCTACATAACCAGTCTTCAATTCTGGAAGGTTTTGTGGGCCTCTTCTATGAATTCTGATCTTTAGTGCTTTCTGTAGAATTTCTATTGGATTCCAGTCAGGTGATTGGCTGGGCCATTCTAGCAGCGTTATTTTCTTTGCCTTAAACCAATTGAGTTTCCTTGGCTGTGTGTTTGGGGTCATTGTTTCTTGACCCTGTTACAACCGAGGTATGCAGAAGAGCATCTCTGAACCCACAACACGTCAAACCTTGAGGAGGATGGGCTACAGCGGTAGAAGACACCACCTTCCTGGTCTCGATTTCTGCTGCAACATTCAGATTGTAGGGTCAGGGTTTGGTGGATCCATCCTGCCTTGTAATTGTTCAGACTGGTGCTGGTGGTGTAATTGGTGTAGACCAGGGGTGCTCAAGTCTCGTCCTCAAGAGCTACTATCCTGCCTCAATCACCTGAATCTAATGAGTGGCTTGTTAGGATGCAACTGTTGGGCTAAATGAGGGGATTGAGCCTTTTGATTCAGGTGTGTTAGAGAAGAGATGCATCTAAAAGTTACAGGATGGTAGTTCTTGAGGACTGGACCATATTTCCTTAGTACCAACTGAGCATCCTGTCAACGTCACAGCCTACCAGAGGTTATTGCTGAGCATTTTCATCCCTTTTATGACCACAGGGTACCCATCTTCTGATGGTTCCTCTGAGCAGGATAACATGAATCATCCTAGCCTGGTTCCTTAGTTAGGGTCTAATAGCCTCCAGTCACCAGATCAATGCATCAGAGCACCTTTGGGATGTGGAACAGGAGTCATCACTGATGTGCAGCCGACAAACCTGAAGCATCCGCATGATGCCATCATGTCAATATGGACCAAACTCCCTGAGGAATGTTTCCAGGAGGTTTTTGAATCTATGCCATGAAGGATTAAGGCAGTTCAGTCAATGGAGTAAAAAATGTTGAGATATGTCTGTTCTTAGCCTCACAGGCTCCAAACGAAGGTCATAAGAGATAAGAATGAGTTCACACAGCCTCCTTCATGACATGAAGGGGAGGACTGTTGCTTTGAGAAGATTCATTTGGCCAGTGAAAGATATATTAACCTAACAGGTATAACCTTAATGAACTTAAGTTGTTTTTCCTCCAAATGTTCATGTGTGAGAAAGTTCTTTATGTAGGGATGGGGATAGTTTTGGGATTTGCTATATAAAAGTATGTACTGAGTTTTGCCCAGTCAGAGCTATATCTCTACGTCTGAGGACGTTAAATAAATTTTAACCTTTTTTCTTGCAAGAAAAGCCTCTGCCTCAGCTTCCTAACTTCAAAAGTCCAACCCGGTGTTCTGTCAGACCAGCATACCCATAGTCAATACAAGTTTCTATTAGGGATTCACGATATTGGGATTTTGGCCGATATCCGATATTTTAAAACTAATGTAGCCGATAACCAATATTGATACCGATGTTAAAGCTGGACAAAAATAAGTAGTCATTGAAAATAGCAGTTTTGTTTTCCATTTCTGACACAAAATAATATACTCAAATATATTTTCATATGCTGATATCAAATTGATTTTTAAAAACTCGATATCGATCTATTTTACTTTCAAAATGTCGTGAAATTTCATCGTTCTGTTACAAACTCTCGTGATACTTTGCAAATTCTTGTGAGATTTTGTTAGTGAAATAGATCGATACCGCGTCAGTATATCAACATATAAATATATGGCAAAATTTCGTGAATTTTCGGGGGATTTCGTAGCATAACGATGACATATAGCAATATTTCATTAGTAAATGAGATTGATATGGTGTTTTTAAATGGCAATATATCAGCATATGAAGATATTGTGATATTTTAATGTATCAATATTTTCCCCTCGTCTTTAGAAGTTTTTTAGTCTGTAAAAAAGAAGTTTTTGAGGAAGTTGTAGTATTTTTTTTTTTTTAGACTTTAGAAACTCAGAAGCTGATCAAATATCGGGTTAAATATCAGTGGGGTGGCCGATGTCCGATATTCAGTTTTAAGGCCGATACCGATAGGGGGCCGATTATATCGTGCATCCCTAGTTTCTATCTTTAGTTTTGTAAGAAAACTTCACTATAAACCACCTCAACAGGGGTTTATCCCTTTAGTCATGTACAAAAAAAAAACAATTGAATTACCTACTTTTTGGTGTTTTTTGAAGCATATGGCAATCTGACCTTAAATTGTTGGTGTTTTTTGAAGCATATGGCAATCTGACCTTAAATTGTTGGTGTTTTTTTGTACGTGACTACAGGGATACACACCCGTCGAGGTAGTTTTAAGTCTATTTTTTTGTACAAAACTAAAGGATAAACGCAAATTTGACGTGTTGTGCATGCGTATTGACTATAGGTAAGGTGGTCTGACAGAACACCTTACCTATAGGCAAGCTGTACCTAATAAAGTGGGCGGTGAGAATATATTTGTTCCCTTGCTATAATGTACGTACTACATATGACTGCAGTAAAAAAATTCTTAGACGTGATTGGATCAAACTCCAATCAAGCCCTTCAGACTGAGGATTATTAAATGTATGTATGTATGTATGTATGTATGTATATGTATATTTATATACACATATATATATACACATATACACACATATACACACATATACACACACACACACACACACACACACACACACACACACACACACACACACACACACACACACACACACACACACACACACACACACACACACACACACACACACACACACACACATATATATATAAACACACATTATTAAATAAATCCATGAAGTAATTAATCTAAAGACATGGAAATACTTACTGTATGTATTGAGACATTTATATGTGAAACTCCAACTTTAATTACATGACATTTAAATACTATTATGTATACCGCCCCCCCAACCCCCCCATAGAACACAGGAAGCACAGGAAAGTAAGTCGACACACTTTATTCCTAAAACAGAAACCACACCACCAGTTGGTGTGGTATTCATGTATATATATATATATATATATATATGTATATAAATATATACATATATATATATATATATATTGCAGTTTGGTTTTTGTGTCTAAATGTGTGGTATAAAATATCCTATACAACAATGTACCTCTTTATTTGAACACAGTGAAGTTCATTGCTGTACAAGTCCTCTGTAGCTACAGCCTTGCTGTAAGTCCTTCATGCTCAAAGGCATGAAACATAATTCTCCTCTCATTCTTCTGTACATTGTGACAATACAAATATTCTGTCTTCGTTACAAAAAAATAATACTCTAAAAGCGACCTACTGGGACTTTATTTCTTTTTTTTATGGGATTTTCTTCCAGGTTCCTTTATTAAGACGAATACATATATCTGAGACCAATTGCTTTAAAGCAGGAAGGTGATATAAACCTTCATTTTATATATAAAAGAGGGTAAGAAATATGACAATTTATACATTTAAAAACTTACAATAAATAAGATAGATGCAGGCATTTCATTTGGATACTTTTTCATCTAAAGCCTTAAAAAGGATTTTGTCGTATTAAAAGCAGAGATCCGTTTTTCCTAGATCAAATATGTCCCTTTTCTTCCAATAACATTACAGATAAACTCTCTAATACAGACTGGCCAGTGACTCTGCTGCCATGCTACATACCATGACAGTAAACCCGTCAATCTCTGGCGTTCATTAGTTGCCGGTTTTCTACACTCTGAGTCCTGGTGATGGCGGGCCATGCCGGGCCGGGCCGGGAGCGGGAGCAGGGATTCCATCTGGGTGCAGGATCCAGCTCTGTACTCTGGTGCCACTTTGCTCCTCTTTGAAGGCTTCTCCTTCCTCCGCCTCTCCTCTGACAGGCTGCTGGTTACAACATGGTCATGATGAAGTTGTACATCTGGTTGAGCACCACAAAGTGAATGGGCAGACACGATCTTCGGTCCTGCGTTGCCGGGTCACACGTAAGCCAGGAGAGAGTGTTGTACTGCTCCAGCACAAATCTGTTCAGACACAACAAACTCAAAGTCACAACTAGAAACCGACCAGCGGTTATTCAAACTCCGCAGGAAAAAACATCCGCTCTATAAATGGAAACTCTCTTGCCAACAGCCGGTAAACCGTTCTCTTGACTCCAGGCAGAGCGTGCGGCGGAGTTGTTTACCTGAGTACATCTGAGGTCTGATTGGAGTCAAGGGGGTGGGAGTGCCGGCTATGCAGCAGCTCGTCTGATTGCACAGAAGACACATGGAGGTGCAAAGAGGCCTGAGAGAGGAAATCAAGAGAGAGACACAGTGTCAAAGGCCTCTTCAAAGCTTTAATCTTTCATTTCATCTCAGCAGAATAATTTTTGATATTTGCTCCGACGCCGCAGCGAGTCTGGAACCAAATCCAGGGGCAATAAATATCAGTGGGCAAAAACACGAGCTTCCACAGCTTAATCCCCCCTACTTAATTTCAGTTTCAGGGGTTTCTTAAACTTGGATTTTGTCTGTCAAACAATAACAGTATATTTAAAGTCGTAGGGAATTCTCCGCACGACTTTACACGAATAAATAAAGTGAATGCAATTGGTCGTTTATCAAGGGGGCGGGATTGTTGTGGCGGAAGGTTCGTAAGCAAGTTTGGTTGTGGCCGGTGTCTCGGAAGCATCTTGCTAACCAGTTAGCAACTTAGTGCTAGTAGGTTCCAATGGGAAGTTCCATTGGGACCAAGTAGCACTAAATTGGTGACTTAGTAACGACACTGTCAAGGAACGCTATGGACAGAGGAAACATGCAAGAGGAGGAGAGTTTAGTGTCCGAGGTCGTGGATGAGTCTCCTCAGTCAGAGATTTTTTATTTATTGAAGGAAAGCGTGGACGAAGAGTTTGAGGATGTTGAGTGTTGAGTTCGAGGTTTTATGCAGTAGACCAAACAAGGCTATGTTTATGTTTTCAAAACATGCAAACCTTTGGAATGGTGGTTGTTTGTCTTGTATGTTAGCCTGCAATACCCCATACCTGTCTATGACTCTTAAAGGGGGGTCATTAAAGGGAATGGATGGCCTGGCTTAATACGCGGGGGTAGTGATGATATCATAGGGTATTGCAGGCTAAAAAAGAACCCAAACGACTGCTAATTCCTAAGGGGTGGAGTCGTTCTTTCGGTTCAATTTGCATGTTTTCAGAGCCAAAACAAGACTTTGCTTTTGGTTCACTCTATAAAGCCTGGAACTCAACGCTATTTCTGACATTTTGAATTGAAAAAGCGTCCTGGATGAGAAGCAAAATGTCTTCAAACTTGGATTGTTTTTTTTTTTTTTTTTACTTTTTTTAGAATTACTATGACCTGGATGACTGAGAATCTTCACCAGCTCATTTAAGGAGGTTTACTGAAATGTGGACAGGAAGCAATTTAAATGAATAACCTGAGCTGAAGCTTATAGATAATTTAAGGACACAGCAAAGCCAACAAGGCAGATGACATAAAAGCTGCTATTAAAGTGACTAAACGCTTCCACAATCATGTACTGAGATTATTTAGCTGTGAACTAAATAATCAAAAGTAAGAACGTGAAAAAAAAAAAAAAAAAATCAATAATTGTAATAAATTTCAGCTCCACTTTTGAGTTAAATTTCTGGAATAAATGTACTTAAATATCAAAAATTTTCTCACAGGGTTCTGTATATAATTTATGATAACAAGCTGTTTAATGTGGAAATTTCAAGTATTTTAGTTTAGCTGGTTATTATGATTTTTATTCAACTATTAAATGATCAAAGACGATCTATTTAACCGGATCTTGATTATATTCTGTTAAAAGCCGCAGTGAAAGACGTTTTTACTTAAAGAGGTTTGATACCTTGAGGAAGAGCGGACACTGGTTCTGAGCCTGCGGACAGGCCGACCAGAACCAGTCGGGCAGCGGGCCGGCCTTCGCCGTGGAGACCAGGTAACCAAGCGCCAGCGGCTGCTGCAGGAGGTTAGGAACCTCTTCGTGAGACTCCATGCGGTCTGTGCTCTGGCCCTGCAGAACAGAAGCAGGAGGTGAGCCTCGCCAGCAGGCGTCACACGGATCCGTCCTTCAGGAAGTTAGCGATGCCTCACCTTACTGCCGTCCACCCCGTGGTGGTAATTATGGCTGGGGGAGTGTACTGGAGAAGTAGTGGGTGACATGTTGATGATGGCTGCCTCCAACTCATTCTCCGGGTCAAGCAGGTCAAAGATCCCAATACCAGATCCATCTGGGAAATATATAAAAGAAGCGTAATTAGGAAACAAGCAGAAAAGAAATAAAAACAGAAACAAAGTTTCCAGAGATGAGTCAGCAGAGGAGGCGCCACTGACCGGTGGTGGCGTTGAGGAGGTCGATGTTGTTGTCGATGTTGGTGTAACTGGAGCTGGCCACTTGAAGAGAAGCGGAGGTGGGAAACACCAAGATGTGCGTGCAGGAGGTGTCCTGCGGCGTGCTGAGCTGCGAGGTCTGCATGTTTAAGGTGGTGCTCCGGCCAAACACGGAGCCTGTGGAGACGGAGTCTGAGAGGGGAGGGGAGAGAACGTCAACAAACGGCAGCAAGGAAATCCCTTTATTCAGCAAGTCTGAGAGACGAACACAGGCTCGACTCCAGAGTACGTTCATCTAACCCAAACAGCTAAATCTAAACAAACGGCGATTCCATCCAACTTCAGATCAGGTCCACTAAAGGCTGGTTTATACTCAGAAACTAGGTCGTCTGCTTTTAGAGTTATAGAGTTAACAGAGTTGCGTTCAAGGTTTTATACAGTAGCTCAACAAAACCTTGTTTTTGTTTTGAAAACATGCAAATTAAAACGGACAAAGGCATCCACCTCTTTGGAATGGGGGTCGTTTGGCTTCTTTTGTTAGCCTGCGGTACCCCTTAAGTGTCTGAAATGACACTTAGACAGGTATGGGGCTTTGTTGGGCTACTGTATAAACTCAAATTCAACGTTATTACTGACATTATGAATTGAAAAAGCTTCCTGCATGGGAAGCAAAACGTCTTCCAGCTTGGAAACAAAGTCCAGTGGATTGTTTTTAATTTTCTTCTTTTAGAACAACTATGACCTGGATGACTGAGAATCTTCACCAGCTCTTTGTTTATGTTTTAAAACAGAAAATCCAAAGAAGAAACCAAACATGGATTTAGATTTTTTTTTAGATCGTGCCTACTGGGGCTACAACTAAAGATTATTTTGCTAATCAAAAAAATCTAAATAAAACTTTTCCTGGAGAGAGGATACTGACAGGTTTTTAAACTTAAATGCAAATTATTTAAATAATCTTTTACGAGTTGGTAGCGTTTCTACTCTAAGTGTGACGTTCTGTCAGTTAAAGACATAATTTCAAATCTCTATAATCCAGTTAACGATTAATCCGATTGTTTCAGCCCTAGTTGCTACTCTTTTACTGAGGTTATCTTTATCGGATGTTAGAATTTATTTCAGAATTGGGGATATTTAAAGGTGGAAGAAGCAAAGACGGAATAGAACAGAAGGAACAGGCAGCAGAGATCAGCTCTGACAGGTTTGATGTATATTTACTGTATACAGATAAAGCCTCTGTCATCCTACCTGTTCTGTTCGTTCCTGATCCCTCGGTCTTATCTGAGCTTAACACGAGCTTTCAGTTTGAGAGCTTTTCAACAGGAGATGCATAACTCTACTTAATCCTAGCATGATGACTGACACTCCCCAGATAAAGCCATCGATCGGGCTCTCCGTCACTCTGAAACGAGGTCGATGGGCATCTGAGAGGCAGTGCTTCATGAGAGAAAGGTACACCCGTCATCCATCTGCTCCGGACGTGGAGGCGGAAAGGCCTGTGATATGTGGCGGCTATCCGTCATACCGCACACACAAACAGCCCCCTGCTTGTTTTCTGGGCGGAGCCATCCAGATCAGAGGCGCCACATCAAAACTCAACAGCTTCTACGCCATCGTGTGTGTGTGTCACACCGTACCTGGCATGATGATGAAGGATCCCTGCGGCTCCATGGCGACCAGGCACACACTGAGGATGCTGGGAGTGTCGGAGGCGGAGATTCCACACATTCGACACATTTCCTTCAGACGGCGGCTGATTGATTGCAGGTTTCTCCTGCTCAATAAGATGCTCCAGTCTGAGATGTAGAGAGAGGAGAGACATTAGTGAACGTTGAAGCGCCGCCATGGAAACGCATCTATGACCATTTTTTAAACTTTCACTAAAATCAACGCTGATTTTTTAGAATGAAATGGGGGTGCATCGAAGAACTTTCTGGAACATAATGAACCTTTAAAAAGCCCGACTTAGAGATTCTTATTTCTTGTTAACAACTGATATTATCTGTGATAAAATCAACTTCAAATATGTTATAAAAAACATTAAAGACCACTGATTAACACTAAATTCATTAACTCACAGCGAAAATATAATTTTTAGGTATAGATAATGATCCATTGATCTTTCCTTGCTGACCGGACTTTTCCTTTAACACTTTGTGGTGCTAAATGCATCATATATTTCCCTATAGGAGACTTTTAAATAAGACGTGGCTGGTTTTGCGTGTTGACAGCTGCTGATTTTGTTATTTTTGGAGAGTTGGGGAAGATCTAAATGATCGTGGATTAGGAAAAATTTAGGAAATGTGGTCTGTCTGGCCGCCAGCAGGTTGATCGCTGCCTCCCCAGAATATCAGTTCAAAAACATGTTGGAATTGTGTATATTAAAAGAGTTGTGAAACATCTGTTTCCCGCCCTGTAGACATAGGTAACGGATTTATTTGATATAAAATACTGAATCACCTTTTAGCTCTCCATGCCCCATCCTGCCCAGCCGGCCAATCACCACTCTCCAAGGAACAGATGTCATCTGAACTAATCCCAGGCACCAATCCCACAGCTTCTGCAGGCCGAGCCGACGTACGGAGCCTTTTTTCCTCCGAGCTCTGTGCAACACAAACATATTCACCACATCAGTTTTTTGTAATTCATGTTAATTTAATCTAAAATGCATTAAAAAAAATCTTCATTAAACCGGAGATTTAAAAAAAAAATGAGACAGCTTATCAGGCGTGGAGAAGCTGAAGCACCTGTTGGGCACGTCGATGTTGATGATGTTGGTCTCCAGCAGTTCCCCGTACAGATCAGTGCATGTAGCCAGAAGCCAGCGCTGGTCGTGGGACAGACAGTATCCCACAAACAGCACATGGTATTTTTGTGATGCTTCACCAAACGTCTCGCCCAGCCCCGTCTGCTTGTCCTTTACTGGAGCCAGGATAAATGGAGGCGTGTAGAGACGCAAACACTCTGGCCTCTGCAAATGGAAGAAAAGGAAAATTATGTTATGAAAACTTGTTGGATTTAATAATTATAGGGCCAAAGCCTAAAAAAGACCCATTGGACATCTGTTGGAATAATTATGTATAAGATACTTAATGTTTGTTCTTATGATGTATAATGTGTGACATATTGCTGTTCCAGAGAGGTGTTGACAAGCAGTATAGGTCAACCCTCAGGAAGTATTGCTCAAGCTTAACAAAACCAGGAGGTTCTCCGACCATTTGACCGCAAGACATTTAAATGCAAATTGACCTGTTCACTGAGGCTGCAAATTGAATTATATTTCTTGTTTCCTATTCCTTTAGCGCAACCTCAGCTTGTGTAACTAGGGACCCCCCCTCTGACTTTAATAAATAGCGAGGAGAAAGCTGAAGACCGGCAGAGTGGGGCGGAGATGTACCTGCACGTCTCTTCCTACTCTCCTCGCGAGTAAAAAGAATTCTGCCTCTGTGTCTTTCTTTCCTTGTTTTACAGTGTTTTAGGTGTTAGACCTCACACATTCTTTATTGTCAGTTATTGTGAAAGGGAGCCTAGAATTTGACTAGTAGGTCGGAAAAAGGGTCAAATTTGATGCGAGGAAAGAAGCTAACTTAATCAGATCCTGATCTAAGGACCACCTTTGTCCAAACAGGCCGTAGAAATCCCATTATAAATGTTTCAGAGAGCTAGCCAAACAGATAACCAAAGATTAAACTCTGGAGAAACAGAGGTTATGAGTTCTTCTGCTTCTGTAACTACAAGGACCTGAGGGCCCTGTCACACCTTCACCATTAAGCCAGCGTATGCCTAACGTCAGAATCTCCTGAAACTATGGCATACGCTTAACTTTCCATGTATTTTTTCATTTTTGGGCACATATATAGAGTATTCATAACGAGTCCAGAACTTGTGTCGGAGGGGAGCAGCGAATGTTGCTTAAAAATATGTATTTGATTGCGGTGTTAACCCAGCTGCTGTTTACCGCCCTCCCAAAATAAAAGAAGAAATAAAAAGTAAAAAGAAAGAAGGTTTGCTGTTGCATCACATTCAGCGTCATGTCTGCTAGAAGATTTGTTGGCTGTGGGCATGAACGCAGGGAGGATCCATCACACTCACCTTCTGGCTCACCCCAAGATGGGGATGAAGTCAGGAGGAGAACTGATGGTTTCCTCCTGTGAACCCCTTTTTATACTAATTCGCTGCGAATACACTATTTAACAGTAGCTGTACGTTAGAAACACAATCTGTGTTGTCTGGAACATGTCAGATACGTTGATATGTGTTGGAGAGAAGTTCTTGAGAAGTTACACATAAGTTATGAACAAGTTAATGATTTTAGTTTTGGATAAGCTAGATGCCACGACTTATGAGTAAAATACACTTAACGCATGTCAACAATCAGATAACTTACTTGTAACTTATGTCCCACATATGAGCATACAATGGCATACGTCTGGATGTACTTGCTGTATGTCGACATGTGGCTGCGTGTTTCAGCGTGCTCATAACTTATTCAAAACAAAGTGTACCCGTAACTTATCCAACGTATGTCAGCGTTTTGCTGGATTTTTCGTACGTCAGGCATACGCCGGCTAAATCTTCAAGGGGTGACAGGGGATTGAGATCTGTTTAAAGGGTGGGCTGAATACCAATCTGTGTAAATAATGCCTCTAAACGTCTCTATGCTTATAAAGGGATAAGAATTAGAAATGCTGCTTAAATAAATCCAAGCAGCTGTGCCGTAAAGGCTTCGCTGTAAAAACGGATCTATAATTAGTCAAAATGTCTAAAATTAGAGGAACTTTTAAAAATTGAGCCAGTAAATAGGAATCTCCCCCAATGACTTGTCTATTTTTGCCCTTAAAATAAGTAGATATTATGCTCTTGAAATAAGATAGCGAAGCTGCTTTTTCTAATTTGAAACAAAATCAGTTTGTCTAACTAACCTGCTCAAATCAAGAGAAAATCCCCTTATATCAAGAAAGAATTAGACTTTTTTTAAACTTAGAGTTCTGCAGCATGTTACCTCTGAGCTCTTGAGTGAGTTGTCGATGGCTAAGCCGGGGCCGAAGCCCGTTAGTGACTTGACGTTGGTGGAGGTGGGCAGCGGCCGTCTGCACTGAGTGAAGACGGAGAAGGCCAGGGATTTGAGGTGCTGTGCGTAGATGTGATGGTCTTCTCCTCTGACTTGCTGAAGCAGATACTGACATGGAATAATCTGAGAGGAGAGAAAACAACAATAATCACTTTCTTCTGTTTAGGTTAAAGATTTAAAGAGCTAAATTCTGCTGCAGTCTGGAGATAAGCTGAATCTGTTAGATATGGGGTCCTCAGGACCTTCCGGCCTGCATGCATCTGAATTAAATACTCTTTTATTAAAGTCAGGTGTTTGGAGGCAGGGAAATACCTCAAACATGCAGGACATTGAGTTTGGAAATTTCAGAGACCTGTACTGAAGATCCACTTTATGTATTGTAAATCCCTTTATTGTCCCACAATGGGAAAATGAACTCTAACCCATGGGAAGCAGTGTGGGGGTAAGGGTCTTGCTCAGGTACCCAGGGCAGGCTTCGGGAATCAAACCGGGTACTTGTAACCTCCTCAGAACAGATCAAGCTTTCTAAAAACATCTAGACTTTATTTAAAAGCAGGGTTGATGGAAGAAAAACAGCAAAGTTGGAAATAAGATGATGCAGAAACTTCTTGGTTATAAGAGATTAGCAGGTTTTTTCTTTTTGCAGCGTCTTGGAAGCCATTTAACTAAATATTAGTTTTTTTTTGTGAATTATAAAAAAAAAAAAAATACATAAAATTCAAACCTCTCGTTCATTCACACTGACTCATTATTCTAGCCTTCATGCCAAAAGGTTTGGATGCATCATTCTTTGGTGATTTTGTGCATTTAGTAAAAAAAATGATCTAAATTAGCTTTGAATTTATGGAGTAAATATTGTTCCATTATTGTTTTAAGCAAGGAACGTAACAAAAAACTAATCTGTAAAACATTTCAATCAAACAAGGTATTGAGAGTAACTTGACCGTTTTCTTAGATTTAGCTTGTTACATTATTTAATATTTAATTTTATTTGCTTTCTTCAATTCTTGACATAATTTATATTTTCAAATAAACAAATTTTATATTGCCAGCTTCTTCAATTTGAAAGATTTTATATTTTCAAATGTTTTTTGTTTTTAGATTTCAGTTTTTCAGATGTTTTTTAAGAATTGCATCATTTTAAAATTCTTTTTTCACATTTTCCTCACATCAAGCTCAATACAAACATTTGTTCTTAACGCAAACACTGACCAAAACTAAACCGCTGAAATTTTAATTTCAAAAGAATGAAATACATCAAATTCAATCTAAAAAAAAAATCAGAAATTTGACAAAAAATGAAATAAAGTTTTGTTATAAAAAAGTGAAAATACAATTCAAAAATATAAATAAATAAAAAATATCTGTAAATTTTATTCAGAATTTTATTTTGAAGAAAAATTATCTTTGAAAAATCTTTGAAAAAAGCATAGATAATAAAAAAAAAATTATTTTAAAGTTCGACAAAGTTTCCCACTTGGATTTCATTTTTCCAAAATGTATTTACAAAATGTGTTTTTTTATTATTTCCATTTACTACATCTGTTTCTCTCTTTCAGTCTTTCCACGAAATTTGAACAAAGTTTACTCCGTAGAATCCAGAGTTGGTTGTTTGCTCACCTGTACAGAAATAGAGTTGCGAATGTTTGGAGGCAGAAAGTGAAGCATCTCCAGGTAACAGCGCAGCAAACCCAGCGTCCAAACGCAGGAATGGGAGCCACTGTCTGCCTCCTCGTAGCTAAAGGGGTCCACGATGTAAACAACGATGGCAGGAGGGTAGGTGACGGCGTGGGACTCCCCGTCTGTAGGCACGCCTATCTTCTCCCGCTCCAAAGTGCTGTGAAAGAAAAGCAGAGCTCACTTTCAATTAGGTGAAACTGTTAGAAACCTTCCAGAAGCAGCAGCAATGTTCTTGTGTGCTGCACCTTTCAGGAGGCTCTGTGGGCCCCTGCGCCTGGCTGCTGGAGCCGTCCCCTGAGGTGGAAGCGTTCTGGGTGGCGGCCTGCTGTCCGCTCTGGGAACCCTGGCTGTTCACGGTTCCGAAAGGCGGGAAAGAGTTGGGCTTTCCAGACGGCACGGCGCTGCCCGGCTGGCCCGAGGACGCCGGCAGGCCGTTGGATGAAGCGGAGGCGTTTCCAGAGCCGCCGTTGGTGCTGCTGCTGTTGGGAGCTGAGGGGGTTTGCTGGCTGGCTGTGGTAGAGGTGGAGCTAGACTGTTGATTGGATGAAGTGTGGCTGGATGAAGAAGAGGCACTAGGCTGTGTGAGGAGTGAACTATCTAATGTCTGAGAGGCGAGGTAAGGAGCTACAGGGAGAGACAGAAACACAGCATTGAAATATTAATTAATGATTAAAAAAAAGAAAAGATGCACCTTAAAGTAAACTTTGATTTAAAATGGGGCCAAAATAAAATTTTTACTGCAACAAAGTTCATCCCAGCATTTATCAATCTGAAAAATAACATTTTGGTTAAATACTTCTTTATTATAGGGAAATACCTTTAACATGCGGGACAGTGAGTCTGGAAAACTCAGAAACCATTACTGAAGACCCCCCCGATTTAGAGAGCCGGAAATTAAGCTTTCTAAAAACATCCAGACTTTATTTAAAGCAGGTTGCATTTTCGTATTATCCTGAGTGGTGCAAGACTTTACACAAGTGAATAAAGTGAATGTGATTGGTCGTTTATCAAGGGGGCGGGAATGTTGTGGCGGAAGGTTTGCAAGCAATTTGGTTGTGGTCGGTTTGTCGGAAGCATCTTGCTAACCAGTTAGCAACTTACTGCTAGTAGGTTCCCAATGGGAAATTCCATTGGGACCAAGTAGCACTAAATTGGTGACTTAGAAACGACACTGTCAAGGAACGCTATGGACAGAGGAAACATGCAAGAGGAGGAGAGTTTAGTGTCGGAGGTCGTGGATGAGTCTCCGCCGTCATCCATTTTTTATTTAGAGGAGGAAAGGGGGGATGAAGATGTTGTGGAAGAGGCATGGGCGGCAGAAGCTTGGTTTGGTGTAGAAGGCTTCCAGCCGTACACGTTTGAGCCCTTGCCTCGCAACGCTGCTAGTTCTGTTAGCTCTACGCCTGCTGAAGACACAGACGTCCATCCCCGTGAACACTGGGACGGAACTCAATGGGAAAGGAAATGATTCCTATTTCAACCGTTGCGTATATTAGCTGGGACATATGAATCAAGATGCTATGGCCGAAAAAATTTTATTGACAGATGACCGTTGATATATGATTGGCCGAATTTAGGTGTTCAGGCTGACGTATAACTAACTGGCCTGCATAAGATAATGAAAAAAAACCACAGATTTTCAATTCAATTCTATTCAGTTTATTTATATAGCGCCAAATTCACAACACATGTCATCTCAAGGCACTTTACAGTTCAACCAGATCATACAGTCAAATTGATACAAAGTTTTCTATCTAAGGAAAACCAGTTGATTGCATTGACTCATTGACTCAAATACAATCCCCCACACTAAGCATGCTTGTAGCGACAGTGGAGAGGAAAAACTCCCTTTTAACAGGAAGAAACCTCCAGCAGAACCAGGCTCAGTGTGAGCGGCCATCTGCCGAGGCCGACTGGGGTTCAAGGAGACAGAAGCAGAGATACAAAAAGCAGCTGTAAAAGGCGGCCCCGTCCAGGAAACACACAGCCAGGCAGACGAGCTCCAAGGCAGCTCCCATGCCAGAGGACGAAGAGAGCACATCCACTCAGTCACGGTCAGAGAAACAGGACCACACTGGAAAACAGGCCGATCTCCAACATCTATTAACAAGGGTGTTGATAGAAGCAGCACAGCTGATGTTTTTTTCCAGGATGACGTCACAGCCAAACAGGAACAGACGAGGCAAAGCATTTTCTAACTTATGGGAGAATATCGTCTGATAAAGAGTTCATTTATATACATGTTTAAGCCAGAATGATTTGACATTTAAATATGACTTCCCTATGACTTTTAAAAGCAGGGTTAAAGGAAAAAAAAAAAGGAAATAAGATGATGCAACCAGAAATTTCTCGGTTATAAAAGATTAGCAGGTTTTTGTTCTTTTTGCAGCTTCTTAGAAGCCATTTAACTAAATATTACAGTGCATGTTAATTTTCTATTTTTTGTTAAATTATTAAAGAAAATGCATAAAATTCAAACCTCTCATTCATTCACACTGCCTCATCATTCTAGCCTTCATGCTGAAAGGTTTGAATGAATCACTAAAGAATGATGCATCCAAACCTTTTGTACGTTCAGGACAAAATTATCCAAATTAGCTTTGAATTTATGGAGTCATTTTTGTTCCATTATTATACTGTTATTGCAAACAGAAAAAAAAAAATAAAAATCTGGGGGAAAAAATCCCCTAAAAAAATCACCAGTTTAACCTGTTTATCCTGATGTTTGATGGGAAAAACAAAAACGAAAAAAGCCCATCACTCAATGTCACAAAGTTCTCTTCTTAACTTAATAAAAAAAAAGTAAAACCAAACCATACAGTGGAAACTGAAAAGAAAAAGCGACTGAATAAAGTGGTGTGTAGAAAACAGACCGTGTTGTTTAAATGAGCTGCCAGCGACACGTACCGAGGTTGTGCCGGCAAACTTGTGCATAGAGCTTTAGCTTGGTGAAGGCGTCGCTGTTGCTGCTGGCAGCCTTCAGGAACCAATCGCTGACGGGCTGATCCATGACGTTTTTGGCTGCACTGCCGCCAACGACGACGATCCCATCAGGGTAACTCTTGGAAATAGGCCGGTGCTGACCCAGGCGACAGGACTGGAAAAACCAAACAGTTACGGTTCAGAAGGTGCAGCGGAGGGCTCGACAATAAGACAGGCTTTACTTTAAGCTGGACTTTCTGTCACATCAGAGCAACATGAAAGGGAAACATGGTTTACTAATATTCTTGCCATTCCATTGATCTTTGACACTGTTAAATAAAAGCCAGAGAAACCAGCTGCCTTGGAGGGTCACCGTTACTAAACTGCTTATCAACAATCAAGCACAGCAGGATTGAAAACTGGTTGACAGTTTTTATTTAAAAACCGATGCAGATTATTTTGACAGTCTGAAGCTGGGCATGCACTGTACGATATTTTGTCCTTTTTGTTTGTTGTTTTTTTTACCTCGTAAACAGCTGTGAGGTCTCTGAAGAAGCTTTTGGCGCCGCTGAGCATGGCTTCGCTGTCGGGACAAACGACGACGTACCCGACGTCCCGCTGAGAGCCGTACGGTTCCAGCTGAAGTTTCTCCCAGTACGGCAAACCGAACGGAGACAGGACCACGAACTCGGAATCAGACTCATAGCCCACCATGAAGGTGGGGATGGGCAGAGGCTCTGGAGACTCGTCTGTGCCTGTGGAGGCCGGAAAAAAAAGACAAAATCCCCTTAGATTGTCCAAAAGACTGAAGGATAAGAGAGATGAGAGATAATCTGATGCTTTAAGCTTACCGTAGGAGCCCCGCCCTGCCATCTTGTGGAACTGCTGCCAGGTGAGGGGACCCTGCACCCCCCACGACCGCACTGTCCTCCTTTTCTGGATGGCGTCCTGGAGAACAGGCTGGAGCGACATCAGCACCCGCAGCACATCCTGAGAGCACAGGGAACTCACGTCCACCGCTGAGGACGGAGCAAGGAAACCAAAGACAGTATTAGAAAAATATCTGCTCCCTAGTTGTTAGGGTTAAATGATAATAACCCTTTATTGTCCTAGGAATAACAAAAACAAACACACAAGTTACTTTTCTGCAGAAGAGGAGAGAAGAGACTCCCTGAATAAGTGATCAACTCTGCTGGGACCTTTTTGTCCCCTGCCTTTATTATCGGACTTCAAAGGAGTAACATGAGGGATCAGAAGATTAAACATACAATAAAGGAGGTGCAGGTTTATTGCTGGTTGTTATCAATCACCTGGAACAGCATGGCTGGATAAGACCAGGACCTGGGAGAAACATTTGCTCTCCCCGTCTGAAGTTAAAACAACTCATCATTCCTAGCAGGGCTGTTACGGCCCCTGGCCTTTTAAGACTGAGCAGGCTTTTCTTATGCAGGTTCAGCTCTGACAGATCTTCCTTGTTGGCTGTCTGAGGACTGCAGTGGAGCTAGAGATCAGAAGGCTGGAAATAGAGGCTGATAAGGCTATACAGCTGCGCACTGGGGGCTTGTCCGGGATGCACAGTCTTAAAAGGCCAGGGGCCGTAACAAGGGCAAATGCCTGATACTTCGTTCAAATAAAATGATGATATTTATATCATCATTTTAACACTATATTTAACATTAGTGATCTGATGATGGTTCCCCACTCACCGTTTTGTTTGGCCCAGTGGTGCAGGCAGCTGCTCTTCACCAGCGCCTCGTCCACTTTGCCTCCAGACATGTTGTCCATGAACTGCCTGCCGTGTTCCAGAGCCATGTAGCAGTCGTTGCGGTAGTCCCTCTCCTCCACTCGTATGCAGGCGGGTATAGGGGCCCCGCTCGGCCCCCACGCCGCCGCCTCATGCTCTGTTACCGAGATGGGTGAAAATGGGTTTGTGCATTGGTCCTGCAGGAGAAAAATCAGCTCGTCTGGGAAGCCGTCCCCGTTTCTGACCCCCGTCCTCTCCAGTGACGACAGCCTCTGCTCCTCGAAGCTCTTCTCCGCCTCCTTGCTGACGTCCGAGCCGCGGCCCATGATATCCAGCTCGTCCTCCAGGAAGAGGCCCGAGCCGTGTCCGTAGCGCCTGTTCACCACGGCGCTGAAGCCGCAGCTGCAGGGTTCTTGGTCCTCACCGTCGGCGCCGCTCAGGTACACTCCCACGTCGGCTCCCTTTATGTTCATGTTGCACACGCAGATGCAGCAGCTGTCGAAGTTGCAGTCCTTGAAGAGGTTCATGACCGACTCGGAGAGGATCAGCGTCACGTAGAGGCTGTGGGCTTCGGGGATGGAGGGGACCGTGGCCGGCTCCACCGAGTTCAGCGGTCGGCACGTCGAAGGCGTCGAGGCCGGAGAGTACAGGTCCGAATTCTCGTACTTTACTGAGCCTTGTACGCTGGAGGGGCCCCTAGGGGTGCGCGGAGTCCGAGGCGTGCGTGGGGTTGGGGCGGAGAAGCGTGGCGTAGCGGGGGAAGGCAGGATGCCGGCGCCGCTGTTGCTGGGGGGGGCGCTGTTGGACATGAAAGGAGTGTGGGTCTGGGGGGTGTAGGTCTGGGTGTAGTCCTGGTCCATGGTGCTGCCCACACTGGGAATATTACTGAAGGCAGACACATCGAAGGACAGCAGTTAGCATGAGGAGGTTCCACAGTAAAACTCATCTGTTTCCCAAAGTCTACGTTTATTTAAAGTCTCCAGCAGTCATTTAAAAATCTATACTAGAGAGAATATCAACAGGATTTCATCACTTAGCGTCCCACTCTAGGACCTTATACAGTTAGCATCACTAATAGTAGCTACATTTACACTGAAGTAAATAATCAGAGACTAAAAATGCGTCCTGTAGACGTATCACTCAGAATACTCGGCGTATTTCAGTGAAGCGGGTCGCTACGCTCAATTTCTATGAGCGAATCGTCCCTTTCACTTCTGACATCTGGGCTCCGTCTCTCTGGGCTCTGTCCAGCGCATTTCAGCACAAATGCTGGTTACACTGAAGGTGGTCAAAATGACACGGGCAGATATGCTGAATTTTAATTAAAACAGTGATTTTAAAAACATTTCCCTCCATATTTGTACATATATGTGAGAAAAGCAGTGAAGACCTAAACCCTGAACCCCTTCTGTCTCGGTCATAGACTCGTCCTGATTGCTGACAGGAAGGTGAAAACATGAAACATACAGCAGATAGAACATCAAAACTGAAGTGGATGAATGCTGAGCCTACAACATGTCTACAACATTTGAACATTTGGCCATTATCAGAATTCAAACGTCTGAAAATACTATAAATATGAAATTATTACATGATGTTCAATAAATGATAAGTGTTTTTAATTAAGAGTAATTTTCATTTTAATGTTCTTTACTGGAGGCATCCATGTTTGTCAAAGAACACTACTGCCACCTACTGGTTTGTGACGTCACGGTGCGGTATCAGCTGTTGATCAAGTCCCAGTGCTGTATCTGGTGTTTGTCATAACGCGCTATTATCCAAGTCATCTTGAAAACATTCTTCTTCCAAATGTTGGCTACATATTACGGGTTTTTTCTCTGGCCAGAAGTTTGATGTTAAATCCTCCCTCTTGGCAATCCAATGACAAACCCTTCCGTAGACGATCAGGAATCGGAAAGGTGAAATAACTTTTTTTTTCCCCCACCTTTACCCGATGTATTCCAACATCCTACTGCCATGCACGTGGGCATTGTCAGTTTCACTATAGCTCTGGTGAATTTCAATGGTGAAGTCCTCTGGAAATCTTCAATAATTGTTGTTGATTGCAGATGTGTCTAGTAGTTCCCATTGATTTTGCTTGTAAAGCGGAGAGAATGGCGCTAGGCTTACCGCACTGTGACGTCACTGCTGGAAGATGGCAGGAGGGAGGTGTTACTATATTTGGGCAAAAATGGCCGCTCCCAGACTCAGTGATCGCAACGAAAATGATTATGTCTATTTTTTTACTGATTAACGCTAAATTCATTAAATTACCGCCAACATATTAGTTTTAGGTATAGATAATGAACCATTGATCATTCCGGAATTTTCCTTTAACAGATAATGGAAGCTGAGATATCTGACCGCTCATACTTTCATCACTAAAACAAACCTCCACATGTTTCGCTATGAGGTAACAAAGCCATGTCCTAGCGTACATGAGGAGAAGTACATGAGCATGAAGTCCCATCTACGGCACATTTAGTGTGAGACGGACACCAAAGTAGCAGCTGCTCTTCAGATCAACATCCTCACCCATGGACTGATCTGAGGTCAGGGTTATTTAGAGAGCAGAGATGAGCTTTCAGGCCCTCCTGACCCTTTAATACCACATACAGGACCTGTGGGTGGCCGTCTGGGGTTTTCTAACTGATTCAATAGAAATCCCACAGACATCAAGGTCACACGCTTTGATTTGATGAAGCGTTTAAGTGCTTAGCATGAGGGAAAGAAAAGGAAAACTTGATTTAATGTTTAGAACACAGAACGAATTAAAAGCCTCTGAAGACAGAAGAGTTCTTCTGTGGTCTCCACAATCCAAGCTGGTTAAACTAAACCAAGCTGACAGGAGAGGAAACGAGAGCAGAGATACCAGGCAGGTATTTCTACTCAACTGTCTGCTCTGCCTAAGGCAGCCATGTGTGGATAGTGAAGCTGGCTGCTAAGGTGGCGTTCAGGATAACTCCAGGAAAGGAGGTTACGGTTTTACCTGTCTTTGTTTAGGAAGCCCAACACTGGCACAGGATGCAGCACGTCTCGGGTCATGGTCCAGCTCGCTCGGTAGACGCAGTCCTCTGGCAGTTTGATGGGGGGGAGGCACTGGCTGGGCAGCGTCTTCAGGGGGGCGAACATGGAGCAGCCTACAAACGCCTGGCACAGCTCGGGCTTATACACAAACGAATAGTCCTATGAAGACAAAACAAAAAAATAAAAATGGCTCCCAGGAAATTAAAATAATAAAGAAGCAGAGCAGGAACTTCAGGAATATCCAGGAAGGTTTAATAAAATCAAACAAGAAAAACACCTTATTAGGAGTATCGAGTTAATCACCAAAAACTATGAAAGCAGAAATCCAACCAGCTGCTGTTCTTGAACCCTGTGGAGGTTCTAACCTGAGTGTTCTAATGGACAACAGCAGCCTTAATGTGGCAGAACCAGGCTGCATATATGGAGGAAACACATCTGCCCCGCGGACCAAACACGAGACGAGAAGAACCTGCATGGACAACGTGGAGCTACGACTCTGACAGCTGAAGCTCAGATGAACGTCCACTTAGCTTCACACAGTGGTGCAAGTATTTATTAACAGATGAAGAAGAAAAAAAAAAAAAAGAGATTCTTGACCAGATCATATTAATTGCTTCTACCTTGTCACTGTTTTTCTCCTGCTTCTGATCAGAACCGTTTTTCTTTATCTACTGCAGGTTTGGTTTGAGAGGAATCATTCCTGCTGCTGTCGTCACGTACCGGAGAAAAACTTCACATCACAGACTGGAACAGATCAATCAGGTTGAATTCTAAAGGCCATTTCTATTATTGACTTCAAGCCGATTTCATTCAGAACATCAGAAAATATTAAAGCAGCATCCTAAACATTTTTATCCCAGCCTTTCTGCTGTTGATGATCATCTATTTACCACATATCTAATATTTACATGCATGTGTAGAGATGAAGCAACTCCTCCTGTTGACCAACCAGCTTCTATGAAACTAAACTTTGAAACTAAGATAAAAAGCAAAGGATTCCAGATTTAGCATCATAAATTAGCACCTAGCATTGCTAGCAGAGCTAACTGTATATCCAAAAGCCTGCAATCGCATGCTGAAAAATGTGTTAACAGCCTTCATGTTAGTTGATGCAGGTCTTGCTCTCTCTCTCTCAGCCTAAATAAAGAACATTTCTGAGTATGTCTCTATTTTGCATGTTTAGCAGCTTTATAAGAAACATTAAATGTGACTAACTAAAGCAGATATATCTATATGCCGAAGATTGCCTGGGAACAGTCTCAGAGAAGCCTCCATTCACGCACAGCTCTATATTTCTATCGGCTGCATCCGGTATTGCTGGATGCAGCCAAGACCCCGTCAGAGTGATGGCGCAGCAGTTACATATTAGGGGTGTAAATAATAATCGTTTTGTATTGATGCATTGACCCAACAGCTGACAATCCGATGCATCGATATGTCCGCAAGACTATCGATTCATGTTTTTTTTTTTTTTTTCCTGCCGGCCTATTTTTATCCATTTGCTCCTGGACGTAATTCTCCCTCCCGTGCTGTGGTGGCGCTAAACCTATTTTGCCCTCCTACCGCGCCTCCTAGTTATACTCTTACAGCAGTGTGTTGCAGTGAGCTTGACACAGAAATTTTTGATTTATGCTCACTATTGAAGCGGGGTCTGTGCTACACACTGTGGGTCTAGATACGGCCGAGGCGGCGAGGAAGTGGGGGCGAATTTAGTCCGACAACGGAGGGACATGAGGGCCAAAAAGAGCGGAGATCCAGGTGGAAAAAGGGTCTCAGTGTTCTCGCGCACCTCGCTCTTCTAGCGGGTCAAACTTCAAGAGTTGTTTTCCGCAATTTCGGTCATAAAAACAAAATAAGCCGGCCTCCAGTATTTTTTGATGCAAGGCCTTTCAGAATCTATAACACAGAGGTATTATTATTTTTCAGTGAATGAGGTTTTAATAGGCCTAGGTGGAGTACAACTTTTCTACTTCTGTTATTTGCTGTTGTTTCTCAATCAAATCGTTGGGTCAGGAAATCGATACCGAATCAAATCGCCATGATGGATGTGATTTACACCCCTATTACATATTTCCTTTTTTGAAGAGAGTTCCAGTCGGAGATTATCCATTTTGTTTTCCAACAAGTGGACGTTGGAGAGCAGGACTGATTGAAGCGGTGGTCTTACAATCCACTGTTGTGTTGTTTACATCAGTCCTTAGCACTCCGCAGCTTTTTTAAATGGTCAAAAATGTCAGTATTGAAAACATTTTGTGAGCTTAGCTCCAGCAGGCATTGGCGATCATAGATACGGGTTAGATGTTTAGTTTGTACCATTTTAAGCGTCATATTTTGTGAAATTGTCGAGAGGAGCTGCTCTCGGCCGCTGCCGCTGCCATCATGCCAATCAGGGTCAGGATGTATAATTAAATGTGGCAGCTCAACATTTCCATTTTTATTTTCCTTTGAATCTAAATTAAACAAACGTCATAAGCTCCGACATTCAGGCAGCTGGACTCACCTTGATCTCAGACGGTTTGGGGCTGCAGAAGCTCTCCTCCACCTCGATCTTGAAGTGGCCGCCCAGCACAGAGGTCCCGTCCAGCATGGTCATGCCGTGGTTAGTCTCCATGATGCCGTAATCTTTGCTGCACATGTTCATGGGCGAGTAACCCATGATCTGCTGCTCGAGGGATGGAGGCGTGGGAAAACTCTGTAGGTCTGAACCTGGAGGAAGGCAAAGGAAAAGCTAGCATCACCAGTCCAATTACCCGTCAATCACATCACTGAACCAGCAGACGATAGATGTCCTGTTTCACACTGCACAACAAACATCTGGAAACCATGCAATGTGAATCCGGCATATGCCTCGATGCGTCTAACAACTCGTTTGTTATTTCTGTAAAAGATACTTGCTGATGTCAGCTGGGCTCTGCAGGGAAAGACGACGAGCGAACTGCAGCTGAAGAGAGTCTGGTGTAAATATGAAACAATAATGAAGATAGAAACCTAACATGCACTCATCAAACATTTACATCAGCACATTTATCCCACTGCCTCCTGCTTTTCATGTATTTATGAGTTCGTTTGACACCAAAGCAGAAGCTGGTTTTTTCAAGTTAAATAAAAGCTTTTCTGATGAGCAGAAGATTCTTGGTGCAAAAGTGCAGAGTATGAGAATTGTTAACATCTTAGAGTAAGATGGCGTTACAGAATTAAAAAAAGATGTAATGGTAAAGGGGAAAAACTCTGGAATATTGCCAAGTGGTTGGAGAAACGGGTTGCTTTTGATGTCATGGTGATAAATCAAGTAGTAATAAAAATAACGATGATGAATGTCAATAATAATGAATAAAGGAATTTTGAACTGAATGGAGAACAATGGAAAACAAACTGGATCAAAACATCAAAACAAAACCGGAGAGTCAAACATTTTTACAGGTTTGATTTCTTTCTCCAAACCCGAAAAGCCTTTAAAATGTTGATCTGTTCTTTTTATCGTCCAGAAGAAGCAACAGGTGATGTTCTACACGCTAAAAGCAACAAAGCTGAAGTAGCATCAAAGCAAAAGGTGTCGAGTTCAGCAAAGCTGCTGCTGATTCATCTAGATAACTCTTAATAACTTTGGCATTAATGTTAATCCACTGATAACTATGATGCTGCGTTCACTCCAAACGCAGCAGGAGCAGCAAGTTTACGTGCAAAGTCAATGGTTGACGCGCACCAAGGCGCAGCAAAATGTCCCGCAGCGCGTTTTGAGCAGCAGGAGCAGCACGTCGGGAGCGCTGCTGCTCAAGATTGAAAAATGTTACTTTTGCAGCTCGATGCGCCCCATCAACCAATCAGAGGCAGGGAGCTGGAAGGGAGACCGACACATCGCTGATGATACAGAGCGCTATGATCGCTCCTCTGAAACAGTTTATTAACGCCTAAATTAACTTAAAATGCTGAAACCCGCCGACAAAACATGTTCGCTTTTATTATCCTGGTGTCTGCAGTTTGGATTACGTCCATGAAAACTGCTTTTCCAGCCGCCGAGCCGAACCGCAAGGAGGCGACCGGGCCATAGGCTGCTGTTGAATGGGATTCCTACTGACAGCGCACCACTGGTATGTGGGTGTCTGAGCGGCTCCGACAGAAATAATATTGGAAGGCAGGATGGTCATCTTAATGAACGGACTGCAGTGAGGAAGTTTTCAGGTGGATTTTCCCACTTAAAAACATATTAAAACTACTTTATTCCCACTGATCACAGCAAATATAGCTGCAAGGCAGACCCACTTTTCCACTGCGCAGCCAGAGCAGCAAAGCTGCTTCAGCCGCGCGTCAGAACTAACTGGTACAAGCAGCAAAAAGGAAGCAGCAGTCGCGTTTCTGCTGCTCCTGCTGCGTTTGGTGTGAACGGAGCTTAAGTCTTCTGAGCTAAAACGAAAGTTACGTATGTAACTACGGTTCTATGAATCCCGGATGACCGCCAGAGGGCGGTGCTGAAAGCACTGAATGTTCCCTTCGGGCATGCGCAGTTCGAGTAATTATACCAACAGAGTCACACCTGTGACACCGGATGACCACTCAGAAGCTATATAGCCTGGTGTCATCCTTTGCTCTGCTCCTACAGAATCTTCTCGCAAAAGCAAGGATTCTGAGTGACAGAGAAGCTCTGGCGGTCATCCGGGATTCATAGAACCGTAGTTACATACGTAACTTTCGTTCTATTTCATCCCTACTGACCGCCAGAGGGCGGTGCTGAAAGCACTGAATGACTAATGCCAACGATGTCACAAGAAATCCTGAGCACATACCTCACAGATGAGGCCCAGCAGAACCTTGTAAAAGGACCTGACCCAGGGGATGAGGGGCAGCCACATTGACACTGTAGAACCTGGTGAAGGTGGTTGGGGATGACCATGAAGCAGCAGCACATATAGCTTCCAGCGGAACCCCTCTCAAAGCAGCCCAGGAAGCGGTGACGCTCCTGGTGGAATGTGCTCTCACACCGACTGGCAGGGAGCAGTGACTTGCAGCGTAGGCGTGGCAGATGACACTCACAATCCAATGGGACAGACGCTGTTTAGAAAGAGGACAGCCTAACCTTGGACCCCCATAGCATAGGAAAAGCTGGTCCGAGCGTCTCAGATTGGCGGTGGCTGCAATGTATGCCTCCAACGCTCTTACTGGGCACAACAACTCAGACTCATTCTCAGTTGTACCAGATTGAGGCTGAAACCGAGCCAGCCGCAATGGCTGGTTACGGTGAAAAGGAGACAACACCTTAGGCACAAACGCAGTATTAGGCCACAGGGTAACACCAGAGCCATCTGGATTCCACCTGATACACCTAGGGCTGACAGAAAGAGCATGTAGCTCGCTGACCCTCTTAGCTGAGACGATAGCCATCAGGAAAGCAGTCTTGCAGGAAAGCCACTTGAGTTCTGCTTGTGCCAAAGGCTCGAATGGAGGGTGGCACAGAGCTGTGAGAACCAACGGCAGATCCCAATCTGGGGCTCGTGGGGCTGGCTGCTGGCACAACCTACGAGCACCACGCAGAAAAAGTGAAACCAGTTCATGGCGCCCCACTGTACGGTTGTCAACAGTTCGGTGAAGACATGAAATTGCTGCAACATACATTTTAAGGGTCGAAGGAGAGCGGCCCTTATCAAGGAGAGACTGGAGGAACTCCAAAATAGTGGGCACCGAGCAGGAAACTGGGTTCTCATTGTGGGCAGAGCACCACGGAGAAAAGAGGCGCCATCTGTTAGCATACTGCAGCCGAGTGGAGGAAGCCCTAGCACTCAATACGGTGTGTCTCACGGTGTCTGAACACCCAGTCAGCCTCCCAGGGGCCATGCCCACAGCTGGAGACGTTGAGGGTTGGGGTGCCATATCTGTCCCCCCAACTGAGACAGCAGATCCCTCCTTGCTGGAAGACGCCATGGAGTACCGTGACACAGACTCCAAAGCAGCGGGAACCACGGCCGCGCTGGCCAGAACGGAGCTACCAGCAACACTCTGTGGCCCTGCTCGAGAACCCTCCGTAGAGTCGGCCAAATCAGTGAGGGGTGGAAAGGCATACAGGAGAACCTGCGGCCATGGATGAGCCAGTGCATCCTGGCCCAGTGCGCCCGCCATCCCGGTTAGGGAATACCATAGGGGGCAATGGGTCGACTCCTCTGTGGCGAACAGATCTACCTCTGCCTGCCCAAAGAGGTTCCAGATTATGCGCACTACGTCGCGGTGAAGAGACCACTCTCCCGGAGCAGGTGCCTGGCGGGATAGAGAGTCCGCAACCTGGTTCTGCCGTCCTGGCAGATACGCTGCGCGCAGGGTTCACAGACGGGGAAACGCCCATTCCAGGAGATCCCTCGACACCTTCAAGGGACGTGTTGACCTGGTGCCACCTTGGTGGTTTATATGATAAACAACAGAGGTGTTGTCTGTCCGAATCAGCACGTGCCTTCCCTCTAGGTGGGGCAGAAGGCACCTGAGGGCCATGTGCACAGCCCGCAGCTCCAGCACATTTATGTGTTCGGTGCGCTCCCTTGGGTCCCAGAGACCCCGAACAGCTCTGTGTTGCCACACGGCACCCCAGCCCATGAGGCTGGCATCCGTGGTGACCACCTCCCTTCGACACACTACTAGCCCCATTGGAACACCACTGGACAAAAGGGTCCCGTCTCGCCAAGGAGCTAGGGCATGGAGGCAGCTCCTGGTCAACATTAGCCTGCAATGCCTGTGCAGCCTGGCGTCTAGGCGAAAGCTGTTGAGCCATCGCTGCAAAGGACGCAGAAGGAGCAGCCCTAAGGGCAGGACACGAGTGACTGATGTCAGTTTGCCCAGCATTCGCAGGAAGATGATGTAGGGAAACTCCCTGCCCAGTCTGAATCGACGGACAAGCTGGAGTATCTCGTCCACCCTGTGAACAGATGGACGGGCCATCATGGTAGCAGAGTCCAGATGCATCCCAAGAAAGGTGGTTGTCTGAGATGGAACAAGACAACTCTTTGCCAAGTTGACTTTGAGGCCTAACAGTGACACATGAAGTAGAAGCTGGGACGTATCCCGAGAGGCAGCTACCTGAGAGGGAGCACAAAGAAGCCAATCGTCCAGGTATGGCAGAATCCTGACTCCGGAGGCCTGTAGAGGAGAGAGGGCTGCTTTCACGCATCGAGTAAACACCCTCGGGGAAAGGGAGAGCCCGAATGGGAGCACCCGGAATTGCCAATGGCGCCCCCGATAGGCAAACCTGAGAAAACGGCGATGTTCTGCCGCAATAGGCACGTGAAAGTAGGCGTCTGTCAGATCTACTGATGTAAACCAATCTCCCGCCACAATGGTCTGAAGGACCTCTGTTATGGTGAGCATGTAGAAGGGAAGGACCTTCAGGTACCGATTCAGTCCCCTTAGATCTAAAATTGGGCGAAAACCGCAGGTCTTCTTGGCCACAAGGAAGTATGTGGAGTAGTAGCCTCTGGGTTGCCGCAGAGGATCTACAGACTCGATTGCCCCCTTGCCCAGGAGGGCGGAAAGCTCCTGGTCTAGTGCCTGAGATTTCACCGGGTCTGTGATGACAGTCATCTTGACCCGATGTGAGAGGGGGGGCCGCCGTCGGCTCCAGTTCCGACGGCGGTTAAGGTGGCAACCACCCATGGATCTACGGCATGAGCAGCCCAGAAATTCAGCTGCTGATGGGAAAAATGTCCGACGGCTGGCCCGGTGGCATCATCTTCTATCCCCACGGCCCCTGGGGGCTCTGGGGGGAGGGCGTCCAGGATTTGAGGCCCGGGTCTGTCTAACAGGGCGGCAGACTGGCTCACGAAAGTCCCTCCTCGGTCTCTGCCGCACATCATGGGGATAGGAACCAACAGGTCTGCCACCAGTCTGAGGTCGTGGCTGAACGCTGGGGGTAGTGGCAGGGCGGCCCGAACGCTGGGGAAAGGCAGGTATGCTCCTGCGAAGGCCGGAAAGCTGCTGGCTAGTCTGACGTGCCTGAGCAGTCCGTTCCAGCGCCTCCAAGGCAGCTGATCCAAACAGCTCCCCTGGTACAACCGGGACACCCCTGAGGGTCCTACGGCATGCTTCAGTCAGAGGAGATTGTGCCAACCAGACCTGTCTACGAGCTTGGACAAGGAAAGACCCGTCCAAGCTCTCTGGTCATCAGCGCGAAGGCCTGCAGCGCTGCGTCACTATAACCAACCGCCGCACTTGCACCACCAGTGTCCTGAACAGATGCAGACAGGGCAAACATGAGGTGCGCCAGAGAATTGCCAAGGCGGCCAGCACGCGCTCCTGCATTGTACGCCTTACAGAGGAGGTCATCTGTAACCCGACATTGAGTCCGCGGGCACCGGACATCAGGACGCAGGGCTTCATCTGGTGACACAATCAGTGAAGCAACAGCTGGTTCAATTGCTGGCATACGGTCCAGGCCGGCCTTCACCGACTCATGCATGGCAGCTAATACACGACCATCCGATGAGAGACGCGACAGCTCTCTCGGTTCCCGCCAACAGGCGTGTAACTCCTTCAAGTACTCCTCTGATGGAGGTACAGAAAAAGGAGTAGGAGCCCTTCCACGTCTGAAAAAGGCACTGCCGGAGCTGGATGCCTCTCCTTGTGGGAGTTCCAGCTGCAGCTGCTTCAGGGCCATAGACATGACCTCCCGCATGGAACCGTCACCGGCCTCTCCAACCGCACTCTGAGATGAAAATGAACCAGCCTCAGAGGCTTGAGAGGACCCTGCCTCCTCCTCATCTCTAAAATGAGAAGCGGAAGCAACCAGAGAGATAACGTCATCCTCTACAACCAGCTCGGGCATTGGTGGGGAAGAGAGCCCAACCACTGGGAGCGAGGGATCAGATTGCCGTGTCTGCAACAAGGACTTCATCTCTGCCAGCTCTGCTGACAACTGCTCCACCCTTGTGGACAGGCCCTGGTCAGGTTTGGCCCGCTTCCTCCGGGGGAGGGGCACAGATGCTGTGGTCCCACCACGGCGCTTAGAACGCTTGGGGGGAACCACCTGCCCAGAGGGCGGAAGGTCCGAGCCCTCCTGGGGGCACAACTGGGCCAACCGGGCCACCCTCACTGCATGGGGCATAAAGCTGCAGTTCATACAGGGGTTCTCAGACAGCGCCTCCAAAAGGTGCTCATGTCCAAGGCAGGTAGGGCACAGGTCGTGGCCATCCTCTGCCTGCAGGGCAGCCCCACAATCCATGCAGCTGTGAGAGCCATCCATGTCGAAGGCCGACAAGGCTTAAAGAACAGAAAGTTATCGAAAATCGGGAGAGGGGGCGCAAACGCAGCCGTCACCAATTACAGCAGAGAAACGAAAGAGGCTGCGAGCACAAGGCAGCCGATACTGGGAGAGGGGGCGAGAACCGCTACCGTCACCAGGTATAAAACCAATAAACCAAAAAAGCTAACAACGTTAGCTGTATGGAAACTTAAGTTGGGAGTAGGAGCGAACAACGCTGCTGTCACCAATTAAGAGAGCACACCAACGAAAAGGCTGCAAAAAAGGTTGATATTGGGAGAGGGGGCGAAAACGCTGCCGTCACCATTTATAACTAAGCAGACCGATGAAGAAGGCTGCAAACAAACCAAAAAAGGCTAACAACGTTAGCCGTCTCCAACTTCGGCAAACGAAGTAGACCACACTTGGTTGGGAGAGGGGGCGAAAACCGCGGCCGTCAGTAATTATAGCAGCGCAGACCGGTGAAAAAAAGGATGCAAAAGTAGGGAATATACTGGGAGAGGGGGCGAAAACCGCTGCCGTCACCAGGTATAACACCAACAAACTAAAGAAGCTAAATACGTTAGCCGTATATAACTTCGGCAGTGAAGTTATTCACACTGGGAGTAGGGGCGAAAACGCTGCCGTCACCAGTTCGAAACAAAACAGCACGAAGCTGTAGGTAAAAAGCTAAAGTCGTGAGCCGGGAGAGGGGGCGCGGACGCTACCATCACCAGCAAACAACTCACTTACCTTCCGTAATCCTCAGAATCGACCCGTTGCAGCCCTGGGAGGGCGGAGAATAACCGCAACTCCGGTCAAGAGACAGTGGCTTCAGACAACGGGGAAGTTAGCGAACCGCTTGAGAGAAGAAAAAAGGAGCAGAGCAAAGGATGACACCAGGCTATATAGCTTCTGAGTGGTCATCCGGTGTCACAGGTGTGACTCTGTTGGTATAATTACTCGAACTGCGCATGCCCGAAGGGAACATTCAGTGCTTTCAGCACCGCCCTCTGGCGGTCAGTAGGGATGAAATAGAACTAATATTTTCCACCACTAGGTGGCGAAGCCAAGCGTGAGCATCCAACAGTTCCTGGACAAAGAAAGCTTCAAACTGTGCAAACTGTGGGTGAATCTCTGTGTAACTATCTTATTCTAGAACAGACATGCTGTGAGTCCGTCCATTTGAATGTGTAAAACACTGAAGAGACGGAGAAATACATACTAATGCAGGAGGCTGGGTCCAACGAGGATGGCTTTGACTCTTTGCCAAACTTCTCATCGGCCCCGTTCACAGGCCGCCTGGTACCGGGCTGTGGATACAAAGAGCAGAGATGATCATCCAGATGGAAACTCTCACCTTAAGGAGCCAAAAGTTCATCATTGGGTTAGCTGAACAAAAGTGACTGCCGTCTGCAGGAGGAGCAGAGGAGGATAGCCGTGCACTGAGTTCTCCACCCACCGTTAGATCATCCTCATCAGAGTTGAAAAGGTTGTCGAGGTCGTTGAAGGAAACCACCAGGTCCGTCACGTGCATCAGGCTGCTGGAGGTCATGCGGTTTTGAGCAGCGGCGTGTTGGGCATCTGCATATGAGTAGAGAGACGGGAGTTAATGAGTTAATTAACTTGCATCCATTTACAATCTAGTGTTGAAAATATATATTTTTACTCCTGTCATAAATTCTCAATTTGATTAAGGTTTAAACTTTGACTAGGCCACAAATGAACTATAAAGAAGAAAGTGAAGTGCTGAGGCTGAAGTGCCTGCATCAGCATCATCTCCATGTACAAAGCTAGGGATACTGCTATACTTCTGATGTATATCCCCGACTAATCAGCTGTATTTCTTGAACAATATGTGACCTCAGAGGGAAACCAGCTTAAGGTTATTCTAAGGTTATTATTAAGAAGAAAGTTCAACATAAATGCATGATCTAATTTAACTCTCTGCCCTATTGTGCATTGGTTGATCACATTAAAGTCGTAGGGAAGCGGCTCTTCCAACCTCTGCAGTTCCGAATTCTCCGACTTTACACGAGTAGATAAAGTGAATGTGATTGGTCGATTATCAAGGGGGCGGGATTGTTGTGGCAGAAGGCTCACAAGTAAGTTTGATTGTGGCCGGTGTCTCTGAAGCATCTTGCAAACCAGTTAGCAACTTAGTGCTACTAGGTTCCCAATAGGAAATTACATTGTAGCACTAAATTGGTGACTTAGCAACGACAGAGTTTAGTGTCGGAGGTCGTGGATGAGTCTCCTCCATCATACATTTTTTTTAGAGGAGGAAAGCGGGGACTAGGGGTGGGTATTGCCAAAGAAGTTACGATTCGAATCACGATTCATAGGCCACGATGCGACTCTATCATGATGCATCACGATACTTGAATTATTGCGATGCATTGCAATATTTTCTCCTCCATGTTTTGTTTTTGAATGACTCGGCGCAGTATCCCGCGGCTGGAAATGCTTGTGACACAAGGCAGCGTGCGTCAACACATCCGCAGCGACATCTACTGGACTGGAAGTTGTATTACACTTGTTTTTGGCTGATGTTCGCCAACCATTCATGCAATTTTATTTATTCATTTTTTTAAATTAATAATCGATACTTGGCGTCAAGAATCGATGCAGTAGATCACGAAAATTAGATCACGATGCATCATCATGACGATTATTTTGCACACCCCTAGCGGGGACGGAGATGTTGTGGAAGAGGACGCCAGGGCGGCAGAAGCTTGGTTTGGTGCCGTACATGTTTGAGCCCTTGTCTCACAACGCTGCCAGTTCTGTTAGCTCTACGCCTGCTGAAGACACAGACGTCCATCCCCATGAACACTGGGACGGAACTCAATGGGAAAGGAAATGATTCCTATTTCTTATTTCATGTCGACATATGAATCAAGATGCTATGACCGAAAAAGTTTGATGACAGATGATATATGATTGACTGAATTTAGGTATTCAGGCTGATGTACAACTAACTGGCCTGCATAAGATAATGAAAAATAAAAGAGTACATTTATATACATGTTTAAGCCAGAATGATTTGACATTTAAATATGATTTCCCTTTTTGTGATGTGGGTTATACGAGTTGTTATGATTGAATGCTTACCATCAGTTTGACCGGCTCCTCCATCTTCACCCTGAAGAAAACAAAAGCAAAGATGAAATGATCTAAAGCAGAGAGGAGGTGAAACTCAAATACTGTGCAGTTCATAGCTAAAAAAAAAAGGCACTGCAAGTAGATCAGCTCCTTCTCAAAATAGATAAGAAACACCAGAAAATGGCTTAGTAAAGACACCTGCTCTCCTAATCGATAGAATAATCTGAAAAAAGGGACCAAATGATGGAGCGGTGTGGGAAAATTGGACTGACACAGAACAGGAAGGAGGCGCTGCTTCTTTCCACGGTGGCAAATGGGATTTCCAGCATGGACCACCCAACCAACGGCTTCTCTGCCTCCTGCACAGACATCAATATCTGGGAGGCCTGGCCCTCAGTGTGTGTGTGTGTGCTGAGCAGTGCTAGCTGGGGAACAGCACTGTTATGTCCTCTTCATTGATTTCATTTTTGCTCCGGGGCTTTTCTCTGACCAGTGCAAGGTCTAATTTGTCTTCCTTAAAAGCCTGACATACACACCAAGGTCACAATCCATAGGCAGCAATGAGGCCTTAACCCAATATCAATATGTTTGCCTTGGGTGAAAAAATGTGCTTGTGTTCTAGCAGAGTTGGAAATGACTTTAATCTCTCTTATTGCCCTTTCTTGACCCATCTAAAGCGGATTCCAAACCTGCATCCTCTAATTGATTCAACGGCACCTCTGCACAGTGATAACATGATGAGTCGTGTGAAAAGGCCAGCAGAGTATGGACTGGATTTGGTTTCGTTATTGGTGCAATTGGTGTTTTTTGATCAAAAACTGGTTTTGAGGGTAACTGTTCTGTTTTCAAGGATTTTATCATTTCAAATTATTTAATTTTTTTCCTTTTTCATAACTTTATTTTTTATTTTATTTTTTCCATTTTTTATGTAAAAAATTCAGCTACTCAAATTCAATTCTTCTTAAATTGCGCCTTACACATTCAAAAACAAACACTGACCCTTAACCAATCAAATTGTGCTCACTAACGTCCAGCAGACCAATAGAGATGCAGCTTCACTCATTATTCCAGAGGAAAGCCCGCCTCCAGAAGAGAAAACGCACTTTGAAATGAATGAAATTCCTAAAATTCGGTCTGAGAAGATACATTTTGAAGCAGTAAAATCTGAGCATAGGAAGAAAGGAAGAAAAAATGTTTTGAAAATTAGAAAACCTCAAAATGACTTATAAAAACTTTTTTTCCAAAACATCTCGCCTGGTCAGGCAGGCCAACAATGACCCTAACGACTCCCTTTTCAGAAGCGTAGTCCAGTATCGGGTATTGCAGACCAACAACGTCCTGAACAGTTTTGAAAATCTTGGGCAATTTTAAGATCTGTCCAGGGACAACAGTTGAAAGATTTGGCTAGTTCTGGTGCATTTGCAGGAATGCTTATTAATGTAAACTGTTCCTGTCAAATAAATAAATCTAAATGACTCCCCGTTACTAAGGGGTCAACCTTTTCTTTCAGTTCAATTTGCATATTTTCTAAGCCAAAACCAGGCTTTGTTGGTTATTCTATAAAGCCTGGAACTCAAAGCTAATCCAGATATTTTAAATTGAAAAAAGCTTCCTGGATGAGAAGCGAAAACCTCTTCAAACTTGGAGAACAAAGTTTAGTAGTTTTTTTTTTTAAACGTTTTTTGCAAAAAAACTTTTTTTATTAAAACGTTTGTAAACTTTCATTTCTGGATTGAATTTTGTATTTATTTTCATTTACAAAAACATGTTCTTCGTTTCCAACTATTATGATACAAATTTCCCCCCATGGCAGAGCAGCTAGCAGGTCTCCAGTTAAAGCTACTGCTTGATCGCCGTTAAGGGTTCATGGTTGAGCCACAAAAGTTTGATCAGAAACTTTTTTCTTCATAGTGATGGGATAAAGATGGATACGTAACATTTAGCCGATTCTTTAGAAGAAACACTGACTTTATGACCCACTTTTTATAGTCTGGGCTTTAATTATAGGCAGATTTATTGATAATCATCTATAGTTTTATGTCTCCATGCTTTTGCAGATGTAGAAATCCCTTTAATCAAACTTTTCAAGCTTTATTCTGAGTGCATTGAAACCCTACTTACTTCGCCAGTTAATAATAATAATTAAGAACAGGGGTCTTCAACGTCTTCCAGGCCAAGGACCCCTAAACTGATGGCGATGGAGCCTCTAATAATATATATTGTATCAAATTGTGTTCTATCAAACTGGTCCTATAGTCACTCTATTACAGATGGAGTCATGTAACGAAAGTAATTTCTCCCTGGGATTATTAAAGTATTTCTGATTCTGATTCCTGGTTGATGGGACAGGTGTTGTGAATGAAACGGTGCCCAGCTTGAAAGAGTTCCTGTGTGTCGCTGAATGTGTGCATTGAAGACTGAAAGACATCTTCTGCCTCCATTTATCTGTTTACTACAGTGTGTTGAATTCATGTTAATGTGGATTTAAAGACATTTCAATTAGTGGAAAAAATTGCAGGGGGGAACATAGATAAAAAGTCTAATCAACCGAAACTTTCGCAACCCAGATGCAGTACCTCTGTGGACCCCCTAGGGGTCGTGGACCCCCTGTTTAAGACCTCCGCTTAAGAGCAAAGAGAACACTGGAAAAATGATCCAGAAATAAGTAGAAATTTCTTAAATTAAGTCTATTTACCCTTATTTAAAGTAGGTAAATGAGATTATTTGCCAACGGAATGAGTTTACTCTTAAAATAAGATATTTGGATAAAATGCACTTGAAATAAGACAATGCGATTGTGTTTTCTTATTTTAAATGTAAATTGTCTTGTTCCATTGGCAAAATGTCCCTGTTACCTTCTCAATTCAAGAACAAATGCACTTATTTTAAGAAAAAATGACTTATCTTAGATAATCTAGATTTCGATTTTTTCCAGTGAACAAACACTGATTTGGATATAAACCTGGCGTAGAAAAGGAATCCATGTATCTGCTTAAACACCAACATATACGCAGAGGTATACAGATGCCACCTAAATCAGATGGACTGGTGCTCCATAGAGTGCTGCTCTAAGATCAGAAAATGTGAGAAAGTATTCACCAGACCCACAGGAAGACAAATATTAAAGCATCCTTTTGTGGTGTTAAGATGGAAGGTCTGACCAATAATTAGATTATCAGCGGATCTCCTTGAGGAGGCTGGAGCTAGAGCCATCAGAGTCCACTGAGGAAGGGGAGCGATCAAACAGTGGGAGAAACTGATTCGCTGCTGCAATGGGAAATACTAACAATAGTGACTGAGGATTGCTTCCTGTTGAGTTTAAACACGGCCAGTCAAAGAGGACGCACCAAGAACCACATCCAGGAGGAAAGCTATTTTTACTGCTGTGCTGCTAAGGACGCCAGTGGCCTATTTTCTACCTCGTTTCCTTCCAGATCTCAAGCAAATAAAGTCTCTGGTTCCATTACATGAACGAGTCGCTGCTCTTAAAAAAAACAGGAATAAATCAGCGCAAAAACAAACAAAACAAAAGATTTGTTGATAGAAAGAGAGTCGACAAACTGAACGAGACGGATAAAACCAAACGACCACGCCGGACAACTTGCCCCCACTTCCTCTCCGCCTCGGCCGTATTTAGACCCACAACGTATAGCGCAGACCACGCTTCAATATTGAGCATAAAAAAAAAATGTCTGCGTCAAGCGACACCTGCAGCAGGAAGTATAACCAGCCACACAATCGTTCTGATCTGAAAGACAAATGTGATTACCGGTAGGTCTGGTGGTAACCAGGCAGCGTTAAAATGACAATTTCGTTTGCCTTCATGTTCTGAATTTCCCTTGAAATATATGATACTGCTAGCCTACTTCCACTTAGTCTGCCTCAAATAAAATTTCGCTGTGATGAAAAAACTGTTTTCATTAAATTTTTTTTTAACTTTCTTTAGCAGGTCAGTTTGGCCAAGATTGCTTTCTCTGTCTTTTTCTTCGTATTGCCGTGCAGAAAAGTTGCAGCTGCTGGAAGATGTCGAATAATGTTCTGTATACCGTTATGGTAACTGTACTTTTTCAATAAATGAACCTAGTATTTTATAGCTTCAAAGAGACACAAAATCTTGTTTTTATTCATTCCACTGGTAGTCTGTTTTGATCAAATAGAAATAGATGCCTGCCTCCAACTCTGGCCTCCTTTCAATAATGGCCTGGACCAGGATGTACCTGAGTGAAATAAGGGCTTCGGCCTATATTAGAGGATTTACGATAATCCCATTTAAAGAGTTTTGATGCCAATTAAGGCTTTAATTAAAAAAATTATAATTTAATTACTTTTTTAAAGACCCGCATAATAACCTCTTCTTACAGCCACAAAAAAACCCCCAAAAAACACTGGCCTGGAGTCCAAAATGTTCAGTCTTGTAGATTTTAAATTGTTTTGAAGATGGTCCTTCTACTATAAGGAATGTTTAAAATTGCTTTTATGCATTCAATCATTTCTTCACACTAAATAAATCCTAAAGACACCCTGTCCTGTTTAGTGGTCTGCAACGAGGAAGTGACGCAATGCGAGGCTAATACTGATGTAACGAATGAACAGCAAAGCTGATCTCATCACAGCAGTGAGAACTTGTCCCCTACCTTGTTCTTCTTGCCTGGCTCCCGCTCTCCCGCCCCTTTATCCTTCTTGTTGGAGAATGTGAACTTGACGTCTCCTTCCTCGAAGGCGTAGGGGTCCACCTCGGGCTCGTGGTCTCCATCGGTGACGGCAGCAGATAAGTACTGGTTCCTCCTGGCTCTATACATCTGAAGCCGCTCCTCAGACACCTTTAGTGGCATTTTAGATGTAGACATCACTCTGTGGGGGAAACAAAGATGGATGAACTCCTAATGTAAACTCCAATGTTGTAGGACTATAACCAATAAGAAATTATCCCTTCTGAGTTCTTATTACTTATTGATAAATTGATGTTTTTGGGGTAAAACTGGAGCAGTAGTAGCATTAAAACCTTCCTGTTATCTGCTGAAAGTCTTGCTCTCGTTTTTTCTCCCCAACCTGAATTAAATGGAGACGTTTCACCAAAACCATTTAACTTCTCTGCACTTCCTCTGACCTTGTGCAACCAATAACAGCTTTCAGCTGAAGAGGATGGCTGGCAGTTTGAGCTGGATGCCTTTTCTTTTAGTTTATTTAATAATAAGATGGAAACTTTCAAAAGTAAAGCAGCCGATTCTGATCTACAGTTCATTTCTCTATGGATCTCTGACCAAGAACTGCTAAATAGTCTAGTTTATGGAGGACCGCTCTACAAGCTGAGTCCTGTGAGGGAACAGATGGTATCTTATAACATATGTCAGTGCTGCTGTCATGTTTACATGCAGTAACATAAATGTCACCGACTGCAAACAGTTCTGACAGCTGCCATGAGCTCCAACCCATGCAGCATATTCGCTCAATCCTATTTCTGCAGCTTTTAAAACAACCCCTTGACACATCTTGAAGCTGATCGTGGTGGCATCGCTCTCAACATCGGATCTACGGCTGCGTCCTGCTTGCAGATCAGAGAAGCATGAAGAAATGGAGAGCAGGGACTGAGCCAGCTGATGCATCAATTGTCCCTCTTTTTTTTTTTTTTTTGCTGGACATGCTGGTCCGGCCCAGATGTAAGGCGGTGTGTGCAGTGGCCCGAGCAGGAGATTAGAGGCCATTCAGAGTCTGTGGTCGGAAGGATTACAGCTCGCTAGAAAGGGCCGTCCGAACAGCTGGGCCCTTGGGACGACTGAACCCTGCTGATACAGTAATCCCTCCCACTACATGCCGAACACCTGCTCTTTGCAGCTACGCTTCCTCACCAGCAGCATCTTCTTAGAGCGTTTTGCAGAATTGACCCTACAGGTTACAGGACGTAACGTATGATGTCAAAAAGCTAGAGATGGACCAGGCTAAGCGCCTAAAAAGAGTGGGGGTCTAAAGGGCAGATTATACTCCTGCATCCGCACACATCAAATGTCGCTTGGGTCTGGTTTTGCTGATATGCTTCTGCACCGTCGGTCTGGGATTTCTAGGGACGCACAGCAGTTTCCCGCCAAACTGAAATAGGGAGCCTATTTGAGAACTTCGGCGGCGCCGGAGGGAGTGTTTATCTTCCAAAAGAACCATGGTGCGTCTGCAAGATTCACGGTCACGGCAATGGATCTAGAAGGGGTTCTGTTAATGGAGTTGGCAAAAAGACCGATTAACCTTTCGTCATATTTGTCCATTTTAGTTGTTTCTTTGTTTTTAAAAATGGCGTGCCACGGCACCGAATCGAGAAGGACGACCACACAGACAGCCGGAAAGGCGTACCAAGGACCAATAACAGCTGCTTTTTGTCTGCACACTTCCACTTGAAGTCTGTGCGAGTTTACGACTGTCCGACGTGTAGTCAGGATTTTTTAGAGGTGCGCGACGATGGTTGCAGAACCTTGTGGGCCGTGGTCGCCCACAGAGACAGATATGATGGTTGCAGAGGTTATGAATCAGAAGCATAAATCGGCCTTAAGGCCTGGGACCATGGAAACAGTGAGAGGAATGTAGTAATTGACGGAGAAACTGGGTGTAAAGCTTAACGCTGACACTCACTCTGTGACCGACACCAGGTCCTGCGATGCGGCGGCCTCGTCCCTCAGCTTGTCTCCAGGCAGCGGCGGCGTAGGTAGCTCCGCCTCCTTCCTGCGAGGCAGGTTGAATAACCTCCACGGTGTGTGGGAGCCGTCGTCCTCCAGGTCGACGGCTGCTCCCACATACATGGTGGGCTCAGGAGGCTCGGAGAAAGCCGAGTTCCCTGGATGGGAGTGAAAGTGCTGACTGATGCCCTCGGGGCCGCCGGGTTCCTCGCTGCCTCCCTTCGCCCCCGCCAGGCAGGGCTCTGGGGGCAGCTGATAAAAGTGTTGGCTGTTGGGGGTGGAAGGGTTCTTTATGGCCTCCCCTGACTCCTCACTGCGCTCGCAGGGGTGGGGGCTAAGTGGCGGGGGCTGGGGGGAGTTGGACTGTTCTGAGGGCCCCGCACCGATGGCTTCGCCGTGGAGCTGCGTGGCTTTAGTGAGGCTGCTAACATCGGAGGATCGGAAGCGTCCCCCGTCCTGCCCCCTCAGGGCCAGCCTCTGGCCCACCGCCGCCTCGTTCTCCATGGAGGCCTCCTCGCTGGTGGAGCTGCGGTGATGGAACGGCGTCTGCGGCCTCTTGGGCAGCTTCTCTCCTTTCTCCGGCTTCTCTCCTCCAGTTTTGTGCTTGGCTGGAGGCTGGGAGGCCTGAGCCGTGGACTGTGTTTGGCCCGGGGCGCCGCCCGGTCGCTGCTTCGCTACGTTTTTATGTCTGCAGCAAAGAGAAACACAAAAACAGCTGACGATACGAACCAGCACACTTAGACACGTTCTCCCTACTCTAAAGATTAATGCTAAGACGAGTAATTTATTGACAGAGAAAAAGTAATTCAGTAAAGACTTCCACTCTTGGTTTAATAAAGGATGAACCATCTTTGTCTATGATGTCACAGAGCCTGAATACCGATTAATCGTTAAATATGAAGAATAATCTGCTTGTGAAAACACAGACTGGCTGCCGACTGTTTCCCCCTGTGATGTTCCAACACCACAAACCTTTTTAAGCAATAGCTTATCAGACACACTAAAAAAAGATTTGATTTTCTCTTTCTATTGTCGAAGAAGCATTAAACACTGAATGTTATTTTTCTATTAATCCTCTAAAGGAGGCGTGTTAACCAGATTTTACTCAGAGTTGAGACCTGAAAACACCGATTGTTACGACTTTTTAATCTCCAACCCAATTTAATTTCCACGTCACACTGACTGCATATAGAGAGGCTCCGACTAGGCAGGGTGAACAGATCTGCACAGAGTTTTCCCTCTTATGTCTCTGTGCCACAACTATTTCCCACATTTGACTTGGAAAGATTATGGAAAATTATTAAATTATGAAATAAAAAATAAAAACAACCCTCATCGATATAAAGCAAAGTCCAGAAACAGCGTCTCTAACCAGAACAGATAGAGAATCTTTATAGGCTTATATTAAAACAGGGTTTATATATGAATGAGTAACTCTAATTGAATGCTTTTTTTATGCTCTTAGAAATCATTTTAATGCCATCAATAAGGACCCATGACTATAATATAACATACATATATAACACGGGAAAAATCTGCGTCATCTTTACCATCAACAGGCTGCAGCCATGTCCCGACTTCTCTCGTTTTCCAGCCCCTTTTGTTGTAATTAGCATTTTCGCATCCTCTAGCTTTTTCTCTGCATTTAGCTTCTGAACCGAACATACGGCTTTACCAACCGGAAGCAGTTCACTAAAGCACTTTTTTTTTTTTTTAAATAAAGCATTTTAAATGCCCTGATAATCACATTTAATGAATTTCAATGCCAATTAAGGCCTTATTTAAAAAAAATATATATAATTTAATGACTTTTAATGGGAGCTATGTGAATAGAAAAGAACAGAAAAACACTGAGGGACGGTTTCTATGCTGACTGAGGCAGAGAGGTGATTTTTAGAGATCTGTGAAGTTTGTACGAGCATTTCTTTTTTTTTTTTTTTTCTAGAGAGTGCAGAATGATAAGCTGTGCTTACCTGCTCCGTCTGCCCCTCCTTGTTGTTTTTTTTGGGGAGGTTCTATTAGGATAACTATTTTACTCTATCTGTAGATTTATCTGGAGATTGTAAACTGTGCTTTCTGTCCCTTGTTATTTTTGCAAGGCTCAAAAAGGATCACTACTTTATCCATTTCCTGTTCTCCTGAACTCCTATCATGGGTAAAGTATTCTATTTTTTTAATGTTTCACTCATTGTTTTTCCACCAGTCTCTCCCAGTTACTATATAAGCGATGCTCCACCCCCAAAATCCCAGTGTATGATTAGTGTGATTAGCAGATTGTATCTTGGAGATGAAATTGCAGCTGAATTGCTGCGTAGTCCGACTAAAACAGACCTGGGGTCTATCTCAGCCGGACCTAAACAGCCCTCTAGCAGAAAATCACGTCGAATGTGATCATCCCCATTGACTTTCACTGAGCGCTTAACGCCACGACCTCGTTCGGCACAATTTTCTGTCAGATCGGACGCTAAATCAGATTCGGCATTTTTAGGGCTTGATAAATTAAAACCACATCTTTTGGTTTATAAAATAAAAAAAAAGGTTTAATTTTCATAAACATTACTTAACCCAAATAAAAAATACAACATAAGTGAAACGGTGAAAGGGGGGTGTGAATACTTTTCAAGCAGCTGCTACCTACCTGGAGCAGCCACAGCAGGACCTCTGGGAAGGCACCACAAAATCCCAGGCTCCGACTTTGGCCTCCACCTCGTCTTCACAGGTACCGTTGGACGCAGCTGTAAACTTCCGCCTGAGAGAAGAGAAGAGGAAAAACAGCACAGCTCAGCCAGATCCTCATCCATGTCGTGTGTTTAATGTGTTTACAGAGTTTATGAAGCACAAAGCTTTAAACAATAAAGATATAAAGTGACTCAGAGGTTTTCTGCAGCATAAGGTCCGGTTTGGGCAAAGCTTTGTTGTGCGGCTGCATCGCCATGCGTGGAGTCACAATATTTGGGCTAAAGAGCCAAAAGCTAAATATAGCTGGCATTCTGTGCTCGGTCAAGGGGTAACGGATCCCAGGGTGTCGCAGGCATCGAAGCTGAATTACACCAAACTGGAACAAACTGTTCGCAGCGTTATTTCAACTACCCAACAACAACATTCCAGATTTAGCTTTTAGATCAGTTCTAAATGTCAAGCAGAAGAATTTCAAGGAGGTTCCCAAAGAATCAAAAAAGAAATAAAAAAACAAAAAAAAAACAAGCAACAGTTTTACATGGATTTTGAAAAAAAAAAATGTTAGTTCTTGAAAAACAAAACTAAAGAGACTTTGGGGCGGAGCTAGAATATGTCAGTTATTATGTCTACTGCTGAACAAAACTATCTCTAAAAGGGACGTTTCTCTTGTTGCTGCGTTAAATAAATGACTGCTTTTAGATATCTGTTATTATTGGACTATTATCTGCTGATAAGCCTCTGAGATTGATGGATCGATGGCATCATGATCTTGACTGTATGATCTGGTTGAACTGTAAAGTGCCTTGAGATGACATGTGTTGTGAATTTGGCGCTATATAAATAAACTGAATTAATTTGAATTGAATCAAATGGGGCGCCAGGAAAAAAAAAGGAACCACCGAATTAGACTGACTATATATAGAATGAGATCTTTTTTTATTTATGAAAGATTAAGTTGGTATCAGGCAACATTCACACCTAAAGCAGCAGAGGCAGCGGGAGCAGCTAGTTCACATGCAAGGTCAATGATGGAGGTGCATCAAGGCGCAGAAAAAGTTCCTGCAGCGCGTTTTGAGCAGCAGGAGCGGCGCGTCAGAAGCTCAAAAGCGTTTGACGCGTTGTGAAAGCAGCAGCTGCTAAAGTTGCCACATCAGCCAATCAGAGAAGCTGATCTGGGAGCTGGCAGGGAGACAGACACATCGCTGATGATACAGATTGCTTTGATTAATCCCCCGAAACAGTTTATTAACGCCTAAATTATGCTGAAAATCTGCTGGCAAAACAGGTTTGCTTTTATTATTCTGGTGCCTGCAGTTTGGATTGCATACGTATAAGAACGGTAACATCTACTTCCAGCTACCGCGAACAGTGGCGTCAAACCGCAAAGAGCCGTCTGGGCCAGAGGCTGCTGTTGAACGGGATTCCCAGTGAAAGAGCACTCCCACAGTAAAATAATAGTTGAAGGCAGGATGGTAATCTGGATGAATTGACTGCACTGACCATGTTTTCAGGTGGACTTTCTCACTTAAAAACTACTTTTTATCCACTGATCAAAGCAAATATAGCTGCCATTATTCCAGGCAAAGACAGGATAGGGAAGCTTCGCCCAACGCGCATCAGACCCAATTTTCCACTGCGCAGCCAGAGCAGCAAAGATGCTTCATCTGCACATCAGGACTAAACTTGTACAAGCATCAAAAATGGCGCAACACGCATGTTTCTGCTTCTCCTGCTGCTTGAGGTCTGAACGTAGCAGAAATACTCCAACCAGCAAAACTGAGACAACTGGTACGGACTTTAGATCTGCTCTGCCTGATGATCCAAACCAAGAGATGCCACCATTTATGATATTCTTTTTCTTTGGTTTAGACTTTAACTAACAAAAATCAGATTTAAGGAAGATTAAGGAAACTATTCGTCAGTAGAGAGAAAACCAATCTGAAGTGGAGGGAGAGAGCTGAGAGTTTAAAATGGCGATCACTGCACCTGTAGATGTTTAATTTCTATATTTCTATTCGGTAAATCGGCGTGGTACGGCACAGACGGATGCATACTCACTTGTTCCGCGCTCTGTTGATATTGCACTCTTGCCAGACACGCTCCACCACCTGACTGGCCATCCTGCGAGGAATCTTCCCCCCGTGGTGACTCGTTCTGTCCACGCTGAAAGAATCTGACGATGATGGCATCTTAACCCACTTTTGGGCCGAATGAGAGTCGACTGGAGACAGAAACAGATCAGGGGTTCAAAGACCAGACGATAACCCTGAAAGGGGGCAGTTCTGAAAGCACCCCGCTACCTGTGTGAGCGTCCTCTGGTGACGTGGGAGGGGTGAGGGTCACCAGTGACATGGCAGGCTCTCGCTGGGAAGCAGGCACTTGTTGGCAACCCGGGTAGACGGCAGTGCAGTGAGAGGACCCCACAGGGGCCACGACGGGGATGTCTGACTGGGGTACGAGCACCAGGCAGGCTGGGTAGACCATACGCACTCCGCCTAATCCATCACAAGCAGACCGGACGTTAAAACGACAGAACTGAACGCGTTAAAAAAGAGCTGAAGACAAAAACTCACCGACAAGGACCTCTACAGAGGCCAGAGAATCATCCTCCCAGTCCAGAACCTCAGACTTATCGTCTGAAGCCCCGTCCTTGTTGCTGCGACTGATGGGATAAAACTGGTTCCACTCCTCGATCAGCTTCTGCGTGGGGGGGTCCGACATCTTAAACGACTGGCCGGTCAGCGTTCCCTTCAGGCCAAATGGACTCAGGATGACTGGTGGGGAGAGAAGAAAAGAAACGAAAGCTTTAATTTAACTCTCAAATACCAAGATCTGTATCCAAAGCGAGCCGTACTTTCAGACTCCCTGCACGGAAAAACAAACAGCAGGAATATAGAGGAGTCATAAACGTCCTCTCCTCCATCAGCCCATGCAGATTGTTGCATTTAACGCCATGCATAATGCAAACATGTGAGCATCTCAGCTGGGGACACGCATGGCCTTTCATTTCCAACTGTTTAGGAATATGCATTGAAATATGGAGCAGGAGCATAATGGCTTCCAGAACGAATTTTCTGCCCCCCCCCCCCCCCCTCCCTCTGCTTTTCTGGTTTGTCATTATCAGACTGGATGTGCTCTGTTCCTGGATATTGATCCAGTAGCAGGAGTGAAGGGGAAAAAAAACCAAAGCTGTTTTAAGACAGGAAAATGGCAGAGGAGCGTAGAAGAGGCATAAAGCCCTTCATCTTTTAATTCCTACATTTTTTTTTATTATTGGTGATACGCTTAAAGCTGACATATGTGCCTCGCCAGCTGAAAGCGCTGACCAATTAAACATTAACAAAGATCTAAATAAAAAGCTCCTTCATGTGGCGACGGCTTGGATTTAAACTGCTAACCTGAGACGGGATCATGGACGTCTAATATAGAAATTACCGCAACATAAAGGACTTTTAATTTTCCTTTTAAAAACTGACTTAGGACTTATTTATTGCAGATGTTATTTAGAAACAAACTGGTTTAGTTGAACTAACACTGTCTTTATTATAATTAGTGAGAATTTTAAGTTTTCTGGCTTATTTACAAACATTATTTTAAAGTTATTTTTCATTTTATATGGTAGATAAATTAGGTCAGATTCTAATATTTCTAATATTTTTTTATTTTAATGATTCTTTCTCACGTCTACAGGAGGATTCAGCCTGGAGGAATTCTTCTTCTTCTTCCTCTGCCCACCTGTTTTAAAACTCAACAAATCTTATTTAAATCCAAACAAACTTACACATTTAAAGCAATCATCTTAATATCAACTTTTTATTTAAGCAGAATTCATCAATGCAAGCGAGCACTTTTGTTATAAAATACCTCTAAAAATTAGTCATTTACTCAATTTGTTTGTGGCAGGCCCCCCTGCAGTTACACTGGGCCGCCCCTAGAGGGCATGCTCCTCATTTGGAGAACCATTGCTTAAAGCAGACGGACTATAAAACCCTAAAAATTAAGAGAACTCTGTTTACTGACTGGAACTGCTTTGTTTTGGTTTATCAGACCGAACGCTGAACAATCATTCATAAACTTTTTTTTTTCTTCATTCAGTGAACACTGACTGAGAACCATCAGTTTGCATTTTGAACCAAAGCCCACTGCAGGCTGTGCTGTTTATAAGCAATGCTTTTATTTTTGGGAACTTTGAAATGTGCAGCAGCAGTGGCATCATTTCACTAGTCGTCCAACTGTTATTCATACATCACCTGTTTTCAATTCATCAAGAATAAGCGATGAACCAATGAGAAACAGACTTTACTACTTTTAAAGGAATAGTACACCCAAAACATTATTAGCCTTCATTTTCTACTCACCCCCATGCTGAACAACACTCTGGAGTACTTTTTTGATATCTCAAATGCATCTGGAGATCTGGGAGGCTTCTTGCTGTCTGCTGACATTCAAATAATGGAGGTCTATGGCGCCCGAGGCAGAAAGGTCCATAAAAGTCCACAAAAAACGTGTCAATATTCCTCCATACTGCTCGTCCAATGTATTCCAAGTGTTCTGAGTGGGTAGCGTCCATAATTTACTCGAAACGAAGTCATTTAGAATGTTTTTAGAGCATAAACAGTAGTGTATAGGATTTCCTGAAAGCGCGCACCTGCACGCTCACGACGCTACGGAAGCCGGCAGACCAAACCAGATGAAAGTGCGCATTCAGCGTCTGCTCTGCCAATAATGCAAGCGTAGAAGAAGAAATGTGCTGTTTACCTGAGCAAAGAAAGAAACAACGAAAGAAAAATGTCTGAGGACTTCAGTGTTGAGGAAGAGCATGAGTTCTTTGCCGAGCTGAATGCGCACTTTCAACTGGTTTGGTCTGCCGTGGTTTCCGTAGCGTCGTGAACGCACATGTGCGCGCTTTCAGGAAATCCTATACACTACTGTTTATGCTCTAAAAACATTCTAAATGACTTCGTTTCGAGTAAATTCTGGATGCTACCCACTCAGGACACTTGGAATACATTGGACGAGCAGTACGGAGGAATATTGACACGTTTTTTGTGGACTTTTATGGACCTTTCTGCCTCGGGCGCCATAGACCTCCATTATTTGAATGTCAGCAGACAGCAAGAAGCCTCCCAGATCTCCAGATGCATTTGAGATATCAAAAAAGTACTCCAGAGTGTTGTTCAGCATGGGGGTGAGTAGAAAATTAAGGCTAATCATGTTTTGGGTGTACTATTCCTTTAATAACGGTATGATAGGAACCGTCAGCTTTGGAGTCGAAAACCTGACTGTTCTCATTGCTTGGAAATCTCAGAGTGGAAGATCTACGCTGCCATCGTTTTGTTTAGTTTTTTTTTTAAGCCAGAGATCTGATTTTGTTAGATAGTCATATGATATTGCAGATTGTACATTTAATTGATTCAATAATGAATCAGGATAGAATTTGCAATGTTGTGGAAATTAATAAAAAAAAATAACACCGGCACAACACCGGGCCGTCAAAAAGATGATTTACATCCCTAATTAACATGTTACCTGATCTCTTAAATGGTTTCCTTGAAGTCAAAAATATTTATCCATGATTCCAAAAAAGTAAAAAAAAAAAAAACAATCCACTGGACTTTTCCAAGTTTGAAGACCTTTGACTTCCCACCCAGGAAGGTTTTTCAATTCAAAATGTCAGGAATAGCGTTGAGTTCCAGGCTTTATACAGTAGAGGACCAAAAACAAAGCTTTGTTTTGGCTTAGAAAACAAGCAAACTGAATCAGTCTGCAATGCCCCATACCCGTCTAAGTCTCTGAAATTGGGGGTTAGTAGAGGGAATTGTTGTCCTGGATGAACAGGCGAGGTCTTCTGTTCCCCTATCCATGACAGTTTTCAGCAGGTTATATTAGGACTTTCTGGTTTTTCTGTAAAAATTTTAAAAGAAAAAAAAGGAAAAAACTCTGTATTGAATGTTTGTCTGGGTAACTATGGCTGATTTGTGAGACCATACGTTCAATGCTTGGGCTAAATCACCAGGCAACAGTGTAAAGACCAACAATTGTCAGGAAACTAACTATCCGCATCGGTAAAGGAGCTGTGAGAAAAAATAAGAAGACTGATTGTTGTCCAGGAGCAATCACAGTTTGCTTCCAGGTAAGACTGAGAGGTGCCCACTAAAACACAACAGGGAACCCATTCTGGACGCGTACCGCATGAAAAAAACGACTGCCTACAAGTGAGAGACCATTTCTGATCCCCGAAGAGCTTGTAGATATTTTACAGCAAACATATAAACCAGCTGTAATGTTGGCAAAGCGGCTGATGATCACCATGCTGTACATCATCCATCAAAATAGCTGTTACCATGGTTACACAGCTTGTTGCCAAACTGACCAGGAGGGATTTTTTTTAAGACTACTGGACTGAAAAAGGCGGCTGTGACACTTTCTGTTTGAAACGATGTAGGAGAAAATATCACACCAACATTTTTTACATGTTTTAAATAAAAGAATATTAGGGTTAAAAAAATGTATTCTGCTAAACAGATGGAAATAATCTTACCATGTTAAACTAATCTTATGGATTAGAGAGTCTGAAACCAGACATATAGTGAAAGAACAAGCCACCCAGAGCAGTAATTAAGCCATAAACTGTACAAAATCAGTGTGTTTAAACCAGTTAACCAGTGCTGCGCAATAAATCAAGATATATCGCGATGGACACCTGATCAAAATTAATATATTATTATTCTGGGAGATGTAGGCAGATGAGAGGAGTTAGCTTCAAACTGAGCAGCCAAACTAAGCTAAACGATGGAAGGAGGAAAGGGAGGGAGGAAGGAAAGAATGAAGGAAAAGAGAAGAGGCAAGTAAATGAAGTAAGGAAGGGACTAAGGAAGGATGTAGAGAAAAGCAAGGAAGGAATGTTAGGGAGAAGTAAATGAAGGAAGGAAATAAGGAAGGATGTAGAGAAAAGCAAGGAAGGAAGGTTAGGGAGAAGGGGGAAGCAAATGAAGGAAGGAAATAAGGAGGGATGTAGAGGTGAAAGGAAGGTAGTAACAAGTAGATTAAACAAAGGAAAGAGGAAAGGGAGGGAGGAAGGAATGAAGGTAATGAAATGGGGCAAGTAAATGAAGTAAAGAAGGAACAAAGGAAGGATGTATAAGAGAAAGGTAGTAAAAAGTAGATGGAACGAGGGAAGGAGGACAAGGAAGGAAGGAATGAAGGTAATGAAATGGGGCAAGTAAATGGAGGAAGGGAGGAACAAAAGGAAGGATGTATATAGGTGAAAGGAAAGTAGTAAAAAGTAGATGGAACGAGGGAAGGAGGACAGGGAGGGAGGAAGGAAGGAAGGAAGGTAAGGGAGAAGGGGCAAGTAAATGATGAAAGGAAAGAACAGAGGAAGGATGTGCCAACAGGGCTGAATCGTTTTAAGGGTTAAACTTTATGTTTAAATAAGGTTACTTTATAGACTTCATATTTTTTTAACCCGGTCCTTATTTCAAAGGAAAAATACTCATCAATATTTATCAATATTGACTGATATGAAAGGTTTATATTGCAAGACATTTTAAGCACATTTTTCTACCAAATTATTAAACCTTTAATTGTAAAGTTATCGAAGATATTAATCAAATACCAAGAAAATAATTAGGCTCAAATGTACATATCTCAATAAAAAAAAAAAATGTAAGTCCTAAACATTTTCTTATTGAGGAAAGTTAATTTACCAATAGTGAATAATGGATTATTAAAATATTCATCAACTGATCTAGTAATCGATTAATCATTAACT